TAGTTATTTCTAGCTCTTTTCTCTAGAGCTTGAGATAATTAAAGCTGAGTCTTACAGGGCATGTCACAAAGGCCCAGTGTTCAATAGCAAGATGTCGATGCAATTTGTTCAGATTTACCTACTGCTATTTATATAAAATTTTATTTCATTCCATTCAGAGGATGCCTTGTATCCCCATGTTAAAGCACAGATCATTAAGCAATAAAAACCAAATTGTCTGTTATTCAAATTATGACTGCAGCTATTTTTGCATGGTAAGAGTGAGGTGCTAATTTTGTGTGAGGTGAATTTTGTAAACTAATTTCAGAAGTGTTCTTTGGAAGTTAGGTTTTATTCCCCTTTAGTCCTGTGCTTCCAGTTTTGTCTCAAATTCATGATCCATGAAAACATGAGAGAGAAGAGAAATGAAAAATTTCTGTGAGAAGAGCTGTTTGGAATGAACAGACATGTCAGATTTTCCAAAACTTAAGACAGATCTCTATTTTCTTCACATTTACAAAATACCTTGTTACCGTTTTAATTTTCAAGAGTGTTGCTGCAGTGAGAGTTTTGTTACAGAGCATACCCATGAAATTAATAGCAGTACTTTATCAAAGAACATTGAAATCTGAGAATTTTTCTAGAAGTGTTGTTCCTTTTCCTTCATGCTAGGTTTATTTGACTCACAGAATGTAGACGTTTCCCCCCAGTGAAGTATTTTTGTAATGTAGGTGGATAGCTATGCCACAGCATGCGTAAATTGCACATTTTGTTTGACTTTCTTTATAAAATATTTAATTTGAGAAACATAATTTATGCCAAAAAAAAAAGCAAACCTTACAATTTTGCTATTTAACTAGGTTGATTTAGCACAAACTGCAAAGTCGTGAGGGCAGAGAGGGAGAATGAAAGAACTTTTATAGATAATTGTTGTGTAATGTTCCATTACTAGCCTGTCAGAAACCCTAAAGCTGCATTGTAAAACAATGGTGTAAATTACTTAGGAAAAGTGGTAAGGGATTGTGAAAAAAATCTCAGACTTACTCTCTAACCACAGGATTTTCTTTTTTATTTAGTAATACGCTGCTACATATTTGGAGGTTCTGGTGTTTGTAGGTCACTGAACAGACATTGAGATCTGATTTATATTGTATAACTGTAACATAGAAAGAAAAAGTATTTATATATTTTCCGTAAGAATATTTCATTGAGTTGTGTATAATTTAAATAAGATTTGTCCCCAGATGGTTTTGCTCACCTTGATTTTTTTGTTGTGGTTTTCATTGTTTTTGTATAATGTGTACAGTTTATGTCAAGGGCATTAAAAAGCCTCCTGAAGCATAATCTTATCAAAGGGATACATTGTTAATAAAATGTACTTAAAATTCTTAAACTTGTGTTGTTTTATTTGAAAACTTAACCTGTAGTCATATGGCCTTCAGTTGAATCATGTAAAGCTGAAGTAATACATGTGACTCCCTGGAAAAGTGAATTTTGTTTAGCTGCCACAGGCTCACAGCCTGGTTCAGAAACAACCTGAGTAGCTTTCCCAAATGCTCGGACTTTCTCAGTCATCATAATTTAATCAGACATCTTTTGCTTTTCATTTTGAATCTCAAGTCATTATTATAAATGGGGATGAGAAATGAATCTGTATTTAGATACAACAGCTGTGAATTTGAGGTAGAGTGAATCATGCATAATGAGACATGATGTGACAGTAGTGACTTCTTTGGAAGGTATTTTGATCGAATGCATAAACTGGTGTGATCAGTGAGGCTGACAGATAGCCACCTAGTGGCTAGGAAAAAAATACCACAGGGGAAATGATCAATTCTGGAGAATAAAATTTGGTGTTTTTAAAGTTATGGTCTTTTACAGTTAAAAAATATATGGTAGAAACAAATGGTTCGCCTTCAGAAATAGATTTCTCACAGATACTTTGACTTCTTAGTACATTTCTTTATGTCATTTTCCCCATTACCTTTCACTATATATGTCATTAAAACATGTAGTTGACCCCCACATACACTCTAAAGCATAGTTGCTGTCATGCTGCTGACCTCCGAAAAAAGTGGTGATTTAGCTGAAATTTTAAAAGCTGCTTTCATTTTTAAAACTTTCACATAGGAAAATAAGAGGTTGGTGATGTGGCACAGTGGGTTAGGCTGTCACTTGGGTCACCTGTATCACATATTGGAGTGCCTGGGATTGGGTCCTGACCCTGCTTCTGATCCAACTTCCTGTTAATGCCCATCCTAGAAAGCAGCAGATATTCTCAAATATCTGGGCCCCTGCCACCCTTGTGGAAGACCCAGATGGGATCCCTGGCTCCTGGTTTCAGCCTGGTCCAACCCACCTATTGTGGTCGTTTGGGTGAATGAACTAGAAGATGGAAGATATCTCTCTTGCTCTGCCTTTCAAATAACTAAAAAAAAAAAAAAAACTTTACACACACATACACACACTGTAGGTATTCTGTATCAATTTTAACAAAATGTCAAACCATTTCTTTAATGTTTTTCTTAGAGGACTGAGACTACATATGCTTAGTCCTTCAAACTTCACTATGTTGTAGACGTCATTTATGAAAATTTATTTGAAAAGCACAGAGGGTAATAAAGATCTTCCATCTGCTGGTTCACACCACAAATACCTGCAACAGCCAGAGCTGGGCCAGATCAGAGCCAGGAGCCAGGAATTTCATCTGGATCTCTCACATAGGTGGCAGGGTCCCAGGTATTTACATTATTATCTGCTTCCTCCCAGGATATGTATTAACAGGAAGCTGGATTGGAAATGGAGATGCAGGTATCCCAAGCAGCATTCTAACCGTTGCCCTCATTACCTGTCCTAGACAGCATTTTACTGCCAATTCTGAAGACTATTTTCTGTTATACTTCTTGCAGGACTTTGGAAGTATACATTATGCACAGTGTTTTTAACATACTTTGTAAATTCTTTGAGATGGAAGCCAGCAAAGCTTGTAACAGAGCCATTTTTTAAAAAAATAATTACTATTTATTTGAAAGGCAGAGAGAGAGAGAGAGAGGGAGGTCTTCTACCCGCTGGTTCACTCCCCAGATGGCCTCAACAGCCAGAGCTGCGCTGATCCAAAGCCAGGAGCTTCTTCCAGATCTCCCACACAGGGGCCCAAGGACTTGGGGCACCTTCCACTGCTTCCCCAGGCCATTGCAGAAAGCTATACTGGGAGTGGAGCAGCAGGGACACGAACGGGTGTCCATATGGGATGCCAGCACTGCAGCCAGTGGCTTCACCCACTATGCCACAGCACTGGCCCCCAACAGAGCTTTTAAGAGGTGTTAAATGTCAGCAATTTAATTTTAATACACCTTTTAGTAGATAATTAGGCTGGTTGTAACTAGGATGGGTTAGATGCAAGGATGCAGGCATTTTCAGCAGGTCTGTTACTATTGTGTAACTGGGTCCCTACTCCCAGCCTGAACCTACAAGGAACCATGCACACTGCTGAGAGCTGCTCTGTAGCCTGGTTCTGTGGGTTTTCTAGGCAATTCCAGTTCTGCCCACCACCACAGTAGCCTGTTACTGATTTGGTTTTACATGGAATTCTTCATGGCTAGGTTTTAAAATGAGTTGCTTCAAAATAACCTAAGGGATGGAGGGCAATTAGGGGTGCAGGGTGTGAATGTCACAAACAGCCATGGATGGGGCCATGGGAACCAATGCTATGTAAGGGTTCACTCAACTATTCTGTTGTGTGCACTTGTAAATCTCTATGATGCAATTTTTTTTTTTTTTTTGGACAGGCAGAGTGGACAGTGAGAGAGAAAGGCCTTCCTTTGCCGTTGGTTCACCCTCCAATGGTGCCGCAGCCGGTGCGCTGCGGCCGGCACACCATGCTGATCCGATGGCAGGAGCCAGGTACTTATCCTGGTCTCCCATGGGGTGCAGGGCGCCAAGGACTTGGGCCATCCTCCACTGCACTCCCTGGCCACAGCAGAGAGCTGGCCTGGAACAACCGGGACAGAATCCGGTGCCCCGACCGGGACTAGAACCCTGTGTGCCGGCGCTGCAAGGCGGAGGATTAGCCTAGTGAGCCGCGGCACCGGCTCGATGATGCAATTTTAAAATTAAATCCAGGTGCTTTTTTTAAAGATACATTTATTTACTTGAGGGGCAGAATTGGAGACAGGTCTTCCATCCACTGTTTCATTCCCCATATGGCAGCAGCTGCCAGAATGAGGCCGACCCGAAGCCAGGAGCTTTTTCCGGGTCTCCTGCACAGGTACAGGGGCGCAAGCACTTGCACTATCTTCTGCTTTCGCAGGCCATCAGCAGGGAGCAGGATCAAAGTGGAGCAGCTGGGATGCAGGTCAGCACCCATATGGGATGCTGGAGCCAGAGGCGGATGCTTAACCTACCATGCCACAGTGCCGGCCCCTAAAACCAGGTATTTCTGACAGGAAAATATAAATTTCAGAGTTTCTTAAAATAAGGTCAAAAAGGCATCTACAAGAGTGTCTTTGAAAAGTTAATGGTAAATATTCATTATAAAAGAACCTGCCTGGATTCTAAAAATTTGACCAAAATGAACTTTTAGTTGCATTTTCTATGAACCCTCATATTACTGAAAACTTAAGGTTTTAGCTACCAATTTATTTGGTTATGAATGTTGGAGAAGTATGCTTAAAACCATAAATACAGGTCATTATGAGATTGTAAACACAAAGCTTTGTGGCCTAGCATTTCCTATTGGTTAAGTATTTTTAGAAAGTCTACCTGTCAAAAAAGTCTCCATGTGGTAGAGAGCATTGATTTTCAAAGTTTAGTATGTTCTGGAATGCCTGTGAACTAGAGTTTCTGCAGCACAGGATCTGGAATTTTTGACTAGGAAGTTTGCATTGGGACCCAGTAATTTACATTTTTAGTAAACTTATGTGGTAATTTATTGTCTATACTAATCGGGTTTCATTGCCCTGAGGTAGGTAAAAGGTAATGGTACAGTCTTAATTAAGGGTATTTGCAATAGCAAAAATGACTTAAAGGTTTTGTGGATTATTTTATAAAAATTATATAAAGGATACCATTTACAAATCAATCAATGACATTGACATTTCTGTACAGGTTTCAAATGAAAAGTAAAATTGCTTGATAAAGGGGGATAAATAGGATAAGTGATGACAATACTGGCACCAAAGTCTCACAACACCTAGACTCAGCAAAGTACTGCTTCGTAGTACATTAGGAGCACATACCCATTTTTCCAGCAAATGGCATGGTTTTTATAAGTAAGGAAAACAATGAAAACCTTAAACAGCAGTAATTATTCCTCAGTATCCATGGGGGGCTGGTAACGGGATATCCCATGGAGTCTCAAGTCCACAGAGGGCTCTAGTCCCTTCATGTGAAATGGCGTAGTGTTTGCATATAACCCACACAACTCCTGCAGACTTTTAAGTCCTCTCTAGATGATAATGCCAGTACAATGTAATACTATGTAAATAGTTGTTATAATGTTTAAGGAGTAATAAGGCTATATACGTTCAGTACAGAGAGAACCATCATCGGCCTAACTATATAATCCACAAACAAGGTATTTCGGTGGACAGTGCTCCAGTGAGGGCTGGAGAGATGGAAGGCGGCGTATGGATTCAGTGTAGTGCTTGGCACACAGTAAATTCAAGTTCTGCTTTATGGAATACTATACAATATTTTTAAAATATTTTCTGGTTTTGGTTAACTGACTGCTGGATTGTGCCGGTACATTTAGGCCTAAGGACAACCACGGTTTTGAGATGTTGATGCAGTTTGTTCAGGATGAAGTGGCACAGTGCAGAGCAGTGGGTAGCAGACGCCTGAACATAGGCAGTCATTTCTACCACCTGGCAGTCAGCAAAACAAAAAGGAATCCTCCTTTGTGATCATCTAGAAATAGGACAAATTAGCAGGTGTAGAGAACCTGGTATATACCAGAAGATTTGCATATTTTGGTTTCAAGAAGACAGGGTTGCCCAGGAGCCAGTACAATTTCCCTCTCCCAGAACTTTTCACAATTAAATTCTATTTAGCACAGTAGGAAGACGAAGTGTGCTGTGTTGACCCTGACAACCTATTGCAGAGTCCAAAGGATGGTAAGTAAAAATAGATCTGGGGAAAAAAAGACTCAAAATGTTAATGAGATTAATGTTTTTCTACTCTTGAGGTAGTCATCAAAAATTGTGATGGAATATCACTTCTGCTCAGCAGACATCAGTCTTCTATGTTAACACTGAGCCGGAAGTTCCTCATCTATCCCACTGTCCCACTCGCAAGTCAAACAGGAGCACTGGAGATCTTACTTGGCTCAGTAACAAATCTTAACCTATTAGGTCTGTGCTCCTGAAATAATTAATTTTACTATGTCAGTAACCTACAAACTTTCAAGTCCAAAACTTGTGGTGATCCTAAACACCTGTGACTTTTTCACTTTACACTGACAATTTGTGCCCTTTATTAAAAACTTTAATAGCTTTACTCTGAAGGTATTAAACGGGGATAAATTTTAACAAGTATTTTCTCATTAAAAACTGAATTTCTAGGACCACAGCTACCCTGAGTGGGTAAGGTCTGGAGTGGTTGGTGCCTACCTGTATGTCAAGCTCAGGTCTCCTATTAAAAAGGGGAGCAAAAAACAGCAAATTAAGCATGTTCCTATGATGCCGCCATCTCGAAAGAGCCCTCTCCAACGAAGAATGTTAAATTCCACAGCTGGTACCTCTAACCAAGTCAGACTGCAGCGGTCTTATGCAAATAAGACCTGCAGATAGCAATAGCTTACTGTGATGAAGGACTAGTGCCAACCATGTTCCCCTTATTATCTGTGTAGCATAAAGATAAAGCATTATGGTATGCTAGCTAACTGTAGTGTTCACTTTCACCTAAAAGGGTAACTGAGGAGAGGCTGCTGTCTTCACTGAGTGGAGGCGACGCAAGGCATGAGGGCACTGCCGTTTGCATTTTATACTCTGAACACAGCACCAGCATTGGTGGGTTTGTTGGCAGACTCTCCTTGTCTCCAGACAAGGGTGAAGCCAGCTGGGACACATAACGCAAACTGTTTCCACTGGGGTTCTCTTCCAGGGAGTTCGTGTAGTTTTTTTCCAGTGCCTTGAGGAAACTGCCAGATGAGGCCAGTAGTCCCAGCTGACTCGGAGGTTCTTCAGGGGTTACTGGGCCATGGCCACAGGAATCAGACGCAGAAACTTCCTGATTATAGGTAAGGTTCTCAAAGCAGATACAGGGTCCAGGGCTGGAGTAATTGTTTTCTGTTGCAATGAGGCAAAGGTAGACGGGTTGACTAGTAAGTTCAGTTTCTGTCACTGACTTCCTGGTGCCCGGGAACTGTGTCTTAGTCCCTTCAGCCTTGTTTATAACTTCAATAGCATCTGGAATGCAGTCCTTGACATTCATTATTGTTGGGTGAGGATTCTCCTGGGGGGGAAAAAGATGTCAATAAAATGGGCATGTGTCATTGAAGCATATTAAATGTGTGGACATGTATGTTCATATAACATTAACTGCATTAAGTGTGAAGTGCTTAGAGGTTCAGTTTTGTTTCTTCTTGGTCACAAGTTAACTGCAGGTACTGTTAGAAATCATATGATTTTTCCCTGACAGAAGAAATCAAAGCTCCAATTATGCATTTGTAGGAGCAAAAGTGGCTTTTACGTTTTATTTTCCTGAGGGGGTCTGGGAAACTGTATCCCAACACTGGGTTAGGCCTTAAGAGGTATTTCCCAACATTCACCTTGGATTTTTTCATTGACAGGATGCTGCTCTTGTAAGGATCTGGGATGTCAGGGTAACACTCCTCCTTCATCCTGGGAAAAACAAAACCAGACTGAGTTTCACAACACAGTGGAATAGTAAGAGTGAGGACTATGGTGGAGTCTGATTCCTGGGTTCTAATTCCTGCTCTGTCACTTGGCAAGTTCCTTAATCTCCCATGCTTTAATATCCTCATTGGTTAAATGGCATTAACTGTTTTACTCTTGACAACAGTGCTCTAAGTGTAAGTTATTATATGTAAAGCACTATAGTACAGTACCAACCCTATAATAAGATACAAGCATTAGTCATTGCTAGGGACAAACTTGGGCCATCTTTTTATTTTCAGTTCTGGTTATTTTCCTTGTATATTGACCTAGAAAGCAAAATTGTGAAATTAGTTTCCTATCTATTTCCAGTAAGCCTTCTTTGTCCTTTTCCTCTTCAGAACTAATATATACATATATGTTATATCATATATATCATACACACACACAAGTCAAGGTCATCTCTGTCTTAACTGCTTTCCAGAGTTTTCCCTGTTTCCAGTCTTGGCTAAATCCTTCCTCATACACTTACCATTGACTTTTCCAGTAACACAGGATCATGATGAGCAAGACGCAAAGAATCATGGGCAGTATGATACGGATAAGAATATTGGCTGAAGAAGGAGAAGGAAAGGGATATATATATTCTTAATTCATTTAGCATTTATTTGAGAGAATGAGCCTCTATCTGCTGGGTTACCCCCCATTGCCCATAACAGCTGAGGCTGGGCCAGACTGAAACCAGGCACTGAGAACTCTGTTTGGGTTCCCACATGGCTGACAGGGACCTAAATCGTTAAGAGACACCTGCTGACTCTCAGAGTACACATCAGAGGGAAGCTCCAATGGGGAGCCATCATTATCCCCTTCCAACAAAACGGCCCTCCTAGCTCAGCAACACAAATGGCATTTGCCTCTTTCCATACTTACGTGGAAACACACCAAGACTCATGGCTGGCTTCTTTCACACAGTGTTGCCTTTGTGATTTGCCCACATTATTTCCATTGTGTGAATATGCCACCGTTACTTATCCTTCCCATTTGATGGGCAATGGGTATCTCCAGTTTGCAACTCTCATAACCTGTGCTGCTATGGGCTTTCCAGTCCATGTCTTGGGTATTGCTTTGGGGGTTATATGGGTATTCTTTAGGGCATACACCTGGGAATGTAAGTACTCAGATCTAAGTTATACATATGTTCACTTTAGAAGATAGAACCAGTTCTATTTCCCACAACGGCTTTTGCCAGTTTGTTCCTGCCAGCAATGTATGAGTTTCAATATTTTCACATCCTTGGCAATATTTTGGCATTTGTCATCTTTTTCATTTCTATTTCTAGGTTATTTCAGTATGATGGTTAGGTTCAGAATGAAATACAGATCGACACCCGTCAAAACAACTGACCTTCCCTCCCTGTGCCTCATTATCTCCATATAGGGATCTAGCCTGCCAGTCACAGGAAAGCTTACAACAGTTTTAAAATGTACCAGTGAAGAGGCTGGCATTGTGGCATAGTAGGTTAGGCCTCTGCTTGTGAAACCAGCACCCCAAATTTGTTCCTGTTCTAGACCTGCCTGCTCCACTTCCGATCCAGCTCCCTGCTAACCTGCCTGGGAAAGCAGCAGAAAATGGCCCAAAGCACTTGGGCCCCCGCACCCGCTTGAGACCCCTAGCTGAGGCTCCCAGCTCCTGGCTTCAGCTGCCTGACCCTGGCCCTTGCGGCCATTTGGGAAGTGAACCAGCAGATGAAAGATCTTTCTTTCTCTGTCTCACCTCTCCTTTCTTCAACTCTGCCTTTTAAGTAAATAAAAAAACTAAATTAAAAACAGAATAAACATTTATGCACAATTTTGCCACTTCACTTAATTTTTTGTGTACTTCTGTTCTTTTTAGCAAATGTCAACATTTTATTTTTAAAGTTTTGTTACTCTGTTGCTCAAATAAATGGACATATACAACCATCTTCCATCCACTGGTTCACTTCCCAGATGCCTGCAACAGTTGGGGTGGGCCAGGTCAAAGCCAGGAGCCAAGAACCCTATCCAGATCTCCCATATGGGTGACAGGAATCCAAGTGTTTGAGCTATCTGCTGCCTGCCGGGGCACACATTAGCAGGAAGCTGGATTGGAACTCTACCAGGCACTCCGACCTGGGACACAGGTATCCGAAGCAGCAGGCTAACCCACTGTGCCACAGTGCCTGTCCCAAATGTATGTATTTCTGATTTCTATTCAGTAAGGTTTGAGGTATAGTTAATCGGATATTGCAAGTAGAGTATTTCAAATACTTTGTTTCTAGTAATCAAGATACAAGCCAAGGCTAATGCGAGTTAACTTAAGGGAGATAAATGAACCATACAGGGTAGTGTTACAGGTCATTGTCTATGTATGTACCAATTACATCTGAAAGCTGGAAGAAAAATAACCCAACAGTAAATGTCAGTGGTGGGCATTTGGTGCAGCTGTGAAGACCCTTTGTGAGACCTCTGTGCCCTGTCTCAGAGGGTCTGGATTGGAGTCCCAGCTCTGCTACTGTGCGTACTGAAGGGGAGCAGATGACAGCTCGAGTCCTTGTCCCCCTGGCCTCAGACTTCCTGGTTGGTGCAGGCATGTGGAGAATGAACTCGTGGATGGGGGCCTCTAACTCACTCTGTTTCTCTCATCTGTCTTTCAGATATTTTAAAATAATTTTAAAATTTATTCTAAAGTGGCAATTGTGCTCAAATAATGTAAATCATCAAATCCTAAGCTAAGGGGGAGCTTTGGATTTTGACTTGGTGACCTAAGGCTATGTTTCAGTCTAGCATTGAACTATCGGCAAGTGCTACAGCCTGCCCCTGCAGCCACTCTGTGGGTGTCACTGGCCAGGGCACTCCTGGGGTAATAGTCCCTACCCGATGAAGCCATCCCAGTTCTATAGCCACACTCCAAAGAGACCATGCACCAAGGAAAGCTAGTAACTTCTGCATGACAGTACTTTCCAAGGTGTTCTCCAGGATGGATCTTCTCTGACACCCTTAGTGACAAGGGTCTTTTATCCCCTTCTCTCAGTTACTTCGGTTCCCTGGACGTTGGGCTTTTGCCAAAGGAATAAATTTTCCCATCAACCAGTTCTTCTTCCTTCCTCCTTTATCTTTGCAGCCAGGTGTACTTAAAAAAAAAATTTTTTTTAAAGCAAGAGACAGATCTTTTATCCACTGGGTTCACTCCCCAAATGCCCTCAATAGCCAGGGCTGGGCCAAGCCAGGAACCTTGGATTCTCACATGGGTTAAGCCATGTGTTTAAGCCATTAGTAGAGCTATTTATTGGGGCTCAAGCCAACCACCCCAAAAAGAAATGCAGATGTCCTTAGCAGCTTCTTAACTGTAGCCCCAAACACCCACCGTAGGCCAAACTGTCTCATCATCTCTCCCTTCCCTGACCAAATCTGGAAACATGCAGTTTGTGAACAGGTGCTCAGTGCCCCTGCACATCCCCACGTAGCCATTTCTGGTTAGCCCTTAAGACTGGCCAGAAGGAAAACTGGCTGCAGAGAGAAATTCTGCTGAGAAACCCATTGCTGCCCTTGCCTCGACAGCAGCCCATGGCTCTTCAGTTGACAACACTGAAATATACCACGTATGATTTTCAGTCCATTCTGAGAGTGCCAGAGACATGTCCCTTTGGGCCATGAGAAGGCAAGAGGAAGGTCCAAGGCCATAATCAGTGAGAGGAGCTCTACTCTTGTCTTATCTAGGAGGACTGTGCAGCATTCTTTCTGGAACAACAGATGACAAAGAGGAAAAGAGTAATGGGGAAGAAGAAGGTATGGTTGAAATTTCCTAAGCTGGGGTAGATGTCTGAAGCAGTGGTGACTATACACTCGGGGCACTTACATCCCAACCTGGAGTGCCTGATTTGAGTCCTGGCTCTGCTTCTGATCCAGCTTCCTGCTAATGTATGCAGACAATGCCTTGCCTCCCTGGGTCCCTGCCACCCATGTGCGAGGCAGGGATTAAGTCTGGGCTCCCAGCTTTGGCCCAGCTCAGCCCTGGCCATTGCAGACATCTGCAGAATGAACAGGCATCAGGACAATCTCTGTCTTTCAAATAAAAAAAACCAAAGTACATTTAAAGGGGGGAAATAAAACTCCTAATCCAGACAAATCCTGTCACAGGTTTCTGTAATCTGTTAGTTTCCCAGGGACCCTCTCAGGAAAGGCTTTTTGATCAGGGACAGACTCACGGTGTTCATCCTGAGTTGTGATGTTTATGAAAGTGCCATTGGGGCCTTCCCCAACGCTTGTATACGGAGTGACGAGGAACTCATACAAGGATTCTGGCTGTAGGTTTTCTGCAACGAACATCTTCTTTTCTGGGTTGTCAATTTTGTATTTGCAACATACTGAATCATCTGTGGTTTAAAAAAATTTAAGAGTACAGCAGAGATCTATCAGCATCTCTTAATGAACCAAAAATCAGTGTCCCAGAGACACTGGTAAAATTTTCAGGAGATGGCACAGTAAGCAAAAACCAAAAGCAAACCAAAACCCCACCCAACGAGGGAGGCTGGTGATACAGAGAGGACACATGGAAATGCAGGTAAGAGCTTGCCAGGAGACTTAGGAAAGGATCTTGTTTTCCTTAATTCTAAGTGGTAGGTTTTCTTAGGTTGAAGGTGCTTTGAGTTCTAAAAATACCAAGCCACACTGATGTTTTATGTAAGTTAAAACACTTCAAATAATGAGGTCTTGAGAGAGTAAACAAGCAAAAATAAACGTCACCTGAATGCGTTCTCTCTCCAAATCCTGGGTGGCACTGCATTGCCTTGGACTTGAGATAGACGTGGTAGCCAAGTATAAAACTGGGTTGGGATTCTGTGGAATAATCCTCCCAGCTCAGAGTGAAGGAGTGGGATGTCAAGTTTTTTATGGTCACTTGAGGATTGTATGAAGGAGCTAGGAAAGGAAGTTGGGATAAGAAAAATCATGATCTCTAAATAGCAACATTCAAGGAAATTGAAAGTACAGCCATAGCCAGCTCTAGAGGCCGTCACAGCTTATGCCAAACAAAGAAGTTTTATCTGTTTCCCTAGGGCTTATGCTTTGGCTTAGCTGGGAGATTTGGGAAGGAGTGGAACAAGCCTTGCCTTTCACAGCTGACAAAATGAATGCCCAGGGACCAAGCGTTCAGGTCAGGACACTGTCCCACGGGGCCTGCGCTGTGTCTAAGCAGGTAAAGCCTCCACCTGCAGTGCCAGCATCTCATATAGACTCTGGTTCGAGTCCCAGCTGCTCCACTCCCAATCCAGCTCTCTGCTATGGCCTGGGAAAGCAATTGAAGATGGCCCAAGTCAGGGTGGGAGACCCAGAAGAAGCTCCTGGCTGCAGATCAGCGCAGCTCCAGCCATTGTGGCCATTTGGGGAGTCAACCAGCGGATGGAAGATCTCCCTCTCCCATTCTCTCTGTAACTATTTCTGATAAAGAAATGAATCTTTAAAAAAAAAAAAAAGACACGTTCACACCTGAGTGTTTAGGTTCGTTTCCAGGCCGTGTCACAATTCCAGCTTCCTACTAATGTAGATCCTGGAGGGCAGCAATGATGGTCAAATATTGGGTGCCTGCCTCCAGCCCCTGTAGTTGCAGGCATTTGGGGAATAAACCAGTGGATGGGAATCTTTCAGCCTTCCAGATAAAATCAATAAAAAGAGATGCCCAGAGAAATTAAAGTTTTTATAAAGGTTATACAGCAAAGAGACTAAAAGTCACCCTATACATCTTTCTATTCTTTCAAAATATTTTATTTTATGTGAGAGGCAGAGCACCCATCCATTGTTTCACTTCCAAATGCCCACAACAGCTGGGACTGAGCCAGGCCAGAGCTGGGAACTCAATACCGGTCTCCCTTGTGAGTGGCAGGGACCCAACTACCTGTTACCTCCCTGAGTACACATCAGCAGGAAACTGGACACTCAAGTGGAGCCCAGACTCAACTCCAGGCACAACAGTGTGCCAATAGGTGTATCAACTAGTAGGCTGAATATATACCCCTTAATTCTAGTCTTGAATTCTAGATCTGCTCAACCAGAGAACCTACTCAAATAAGAAGGGGAAGAAGAGAGGGTGGTGTTTGTTTAAAGACAAGGGGGAATTTGAACTCTGGTTCCCAGGGTGCGACAATGCAGTTACTTAAGGATAACTGATCAAATCTGGGTGCATTTATTCTGAAGGCTGCCCTTGGCCCACTGATGCACAAACTGTGCACACTGACCCATGCAACACACCTCCTGCCTATCTCAGGGTTGAATTTCATCATTTATTGATGAAAACCACTGTCATTTTAGATTGTCCAGCAACAGCTGACATGACCTGTGTACACAAGACACTGCAGTCATAAAATACTATGGCTGAACATCACATGCATCACAAAAGCAGTTTATAGAGGGCATTGAGGAAGATCTCTCTTTTTTTACCATTGTGTCTGTAGAAAGGAATACCTGGGTATACCTAAAAAATGAACTCTGGGTGTCTGCCTTTGGATAGTCAACAGTGATTTCACCTTGTTCTTTTTCATGATATTGAAAAAAACATAAGACAACATTTTACATTGGTATGATTACAAAATCATTTAAAAACCCAGTTACTAGAATAAATGGGGAATGATTCCAAGATGCCAGAATAAGGAGGGAAAATAGTTTTTAAAAAGTGGAGAGAGTGCAGTCTTAAGGAAGAGTTAGGGAGGAAACTCCATGCAAATTAGAGGGACACTGTGGAGGACCCCAGCAGCCGAGAGCCTCAGCACCAGCTTTGGAGAGTGAGGTGAGACCAGACTACAGAAGCCCCAATCAACCAGGAAAAGAAAGGCCAAGATACATTCCAAGTCTTCCCTGCTGCCATCCCAAGTCTGAAGAGAAAAAACTGTCAACCCAGAATACTGTACCCTACAAAGCTCTCATTTATGAACAAAGGTGAAATAAAGACCTTCCGTGAAAAATAGAAATTGAAAGAATTTGTCACCACTCATCCAGCCTTACAAAGATGCTAAAGGATGTGCTACACACAGAAACATGGTCAGCACTACAAAAAGAAGGTGAAGGCAGACAATCTCCCAGTAAAAAGTACGAAGTAAATCCATAGTCAACAATAGGAATACTTATGGGAAAATGGCAGGGCCAAGTTGTTACTTAGCAGTAGTCACCTTGAATGTAAATGGCCTCAACTCTGCAGTAAAAAGATAGACTGGCTGAATGGATTGAAAAAAAAAAATCTACTTGCCACCTATAAGAAACACATCTCACCAACAAAGATACAAGCAGACTGAGTGAAAGCATGGAAAAATATAGTGCATACCAAGAAAGAGCTGGTGTAGCCACCTTGTATCAGACAAAATAGATTAACACAAAAACTGTTAAGAGAGACAAAGAAGGGCACTATGTAATGATTAAAGGATCCATTTAACAGGAAGATGTAACTATTACAAATGTGTATGTACCTGATTACAGGTCACCTGGATATTTAAAATAAATGTTAATGGGTCTATAAAGGGAAACATAGACTCCCATACAGTAGTAATGGGGGGCTTGAATACCCCACTTTCAGTAAGGGACAGATCAACCAACAGAAAATCATCAAGAAAACAACAGTTAATTGACATTATAGAACAAATGGACCTAACATATCTACAGGGCTCTTTATCCTACAGTTGCAGAACACAGATTCTTCTCATAGTGCATGGAATTTTCTCTAGGATAGACCACATGCTAGCCCATACAGCAAGTCTCTGCAAATTCAAAATCTGAAATCATACCATGCATCTTCTCTCACCACAATGGAATGTAGCTGGAAATCAACAACTCAGGAATCTCTAGACCATTTGCAAACACATGGAGACTGAACAACATGCTACTGAATGAACAGTGGGTCATAGAAAAATCAAAAGAGAAATCAAAAAACTTCTGGAAACAAATGAGGGTGACAGTACAACATACCAAAACTTATGGGATACAGCAAAAGCAGTGTTAAGAGGAAAGTTTATAGCAATTGGTGCCTACATCAAGAAATAGTGAAGACACCAAATAAATGAGCTATCAATGCATCTCAGGGACCTAGAAAAACAACAGCAAACTGAACCCAAAATTAGTAGGAGAAAAGAAATAATTAAAATTAAGAAATAAAATCAAAACCAACAATGCAAAAGATCAGCAAAATGCAGAGCTGGAATTTTGAAAAAATAAAATAAATAGGAGGGATAAGACCTGAATCAATAAAATCAGAGATGAAAAAGGAAAGGTAACAGCCACCATAAAAAGAAAGAATCATCAGAAATTACTACAAAGAGCTATACACCAACAAATTTGGAAAACCTAGCAGAAATGGATTCTTGGACACATACAACCTACCTAAGTTGAGCCAAGAAGAAATAGAACACCTAAACAGACCCATAACCAAGATGGAAATTGAATAAGTAATAAAGGCCCTCCCAACAAAGAAAAGCCCAGGACTGGATAGATTCACTGCTGAATTCTATCAGATATTTAAATAACTAACTACGATTCTTCTCAAGCTATTCAAAACAACTGAATGGGAGGGAATCCTCCCAAATTCTATGAAGCCAGCATCACCTTAATTCCTAAACCTGAAAAAGATGCAACAGAGAAAGAACTATAGACTAATCTCCCTGATGAACACAGACACAAACATCCTCAACAAAATACTAACCAATCGAATCCAACAACACAACAGGAAGATCATTCACCGGGACCAAGTGAGATTTATCCCTGGGATACAGGGAAGGTTTAATATTCATGAATAAGTATGATACATCACATTAAAAAAACCGCAAAACAAAAACCATATGATTATCTCAATAGATGCAGAGACAGTATTTGATAAAGCACAACACCCTTTCATGATGAAAACTCTAAGCAAACTGGGTATAGAAGGAACATTCCTCAACACTATCAAGGCAATTTATGACATACCCACGGCCAGCATCATATTAAGTGGAGAAAAGTTGGAAGCATTCCCACTGAGATCCAGAACCAGAAAAGGATGCCCATTCTCACCACTGCTGTTCAATATAGTCCTGGAAGTTTTAGCCAGAGCCATTAGGCAAGAAAAAGAAATCAAAGGGATACTAATTGGGAAGGAGGAAGTCAAACGACCTCTATTTGCAGATGACATGATTCTATATTTAGGGGACCCAAAAGACTCCACTAAGAAACTACTCATAAAAGAGTAGCAGGATATAAAATCAGCACACAAAAACCAACAGCCTTTTTATACACAGTGCCACAGCTGAGGAAGAACTGAGATCAATCCCATTCACAATAGCTACAAGAACAATCAAATACCTTGGAATAAATTTAACCAACGAGATCAAAGAACTCTACAATGAGAATTGCAGAACATTAAACAAAGAAATAGAAGATACAGAAGCAAAAAAGGAAAAATCTCCCACATTCATGGGTTGGAAGGATCAGTACCATCAAAATGTCCATATTACCAAAAGCAATTTACAGATTCAATGCAATACCAATCAAAATACCAAGGACATTGTTCTCAGACATATACAAAATGATACTGAAATTCATATGGAAACACAGAAGACCCTGAATAGCTAAAGCAATCTTATACAACAAAAACAAAGCCAGAGGCATCACAATACCAGATTTCAAGACATACTACAGGGCAGTTATAATCAAAACAGCCTCAGCCTGGTACTGGTACAAAAAAAGATGGTTAGACCAATGGAACAGAATGGAAACACCACAAATCAACCCACACATCTGCAGGCAACTAATGTTTCACAAAGGAGCTAAAATCAATCTCTGGAGCAAGGACATTCCCCTTAAGCAATGGTGCTGGGAAAACTGGATTTCCACATGCAGAAGTATGAAGCAAGACCCCTACCTTACACCTTACACAAAAATCCACTCAACATGGATTAAAGATGACCCAATACCATCAAATAACTAGAGAACATTGTGGAAACCCTGGAAGACATTGGCATAGGCAAAGATTTCTTGAAAAAGACCCAAGAGGCACAGGCAATCAAAGCCAAAATTGACAAATGATATTACATCAAATTGAGAGGCTTCTTTCTGTACTACCCCCCCCCCCCAAAAAAAAAAAACTGGAAAGGGAAGAGGCAACTGACAGAATGGGAGAAATTATTTGCAAACTATACAACTGATAAATGATTAACATCCAAAATATGTAAAGAGCTCACAAAACCCAACAAGAACAAAACAAATAATCTAGTGAAGAAATGAGCAAAGGACTTAGACATTTTTCAAAAGAGGCAATCCAAATGACCAATAGACACATAGAAAAATGCTCAGGATCACTAGCTCTCAGGGAAATGCAGGTACCCTAATCCACTGCTGGTGGGAACATAAACTGGTCTGACCACTATGGAAGATAGTATGGAGAGATCTCAGAAATCTGAATACAGAGCTACCATGTCAGCCATCCCACTCCTGAGAATTTACCCAAGGGAAGTCAAATTAGCATATGAAACAGTTATCTATACCCCCATGTTTATTACAGCTTAATTCACAATAGCTAAGATACATCAGCTGAAGATGGGTTAAAGAAATTGTGGGATACATACACCAAGGAATACTACACAGCAGTTAAAAAAACTGTAATTTGCAACAAAATGGATCGAACTGGAAAACATCATACTTACTGAAATAAGCCAGTCCCAAAAGGACAAAAGTATATGTTCTCCCTGATCTGTAGTAATTAACAGAGCACTTAAAAGGTAATCTATAGAAGTGAAATTGACACTTTGAGAAGCAATGACTTTGAACAGCTCTTGGCTGTTGAACAGTTCTTTTTTTCATACTATTCAACTCTTTACTTAGAATACAGTTAATTTTATGTGTATAAAGCTAATTGAAAATAGATGTTTGTAAAAAAATAAGAGTGGGAATAGGAAAGAGAGGGATGAAGAAGAAGGGTGGGAGGGCAGGTACAGTGGGAAGAATCACTATGTTTCTAAAGTTGTATTTATAAAATCCATGAAGTTTATATACCTTCAATAAAAGGTTTATGGGGAAGAAAAAAAAAGAAATGGGACACTCAAAATTAGGTAAGGTGTTGAAATCTTCCTTACCCCAATCTTGATGTCTGTGCATTGTTCAGAACAAGCTGCACGGGGGTACATAAAGTGCTTCAACTCACCCAATTCCTGGCAGTATCCTGTTTTTTTCGCTAGTAAATAAGCAATCCTTTTTGTAGACAGTCCGTAAATTCTGAAGCTGTATCGGACTCCCGGTTCAAAAGAATCTAGAGAAGAACGGTCAACAGACTCTCAGTGACAGAATGGCATTCTCATCAAATCTGAAAAGCCCAAGAGTGGAAGAGCAACCTGTGTTCCCTTAGGCATTTCCTTTGTGAGATTTCTTCACTTCCTCCCCGCCTTCTGTCTTCCTTCCAGTAAGCGCTGGGGTCCCGCCAGGTTGCAAGCACCTGACTGAGTGGTCTTGTCTCCAGCAAAAAGCTCACGTGGCTTTCCCTCCATGGCATCCTCTTGCTAAGGGCTCTCAAACATGTCCTTATCCACAGACATGAGACTGAGTAGAGAATCCAATCAGAGCCCTAAAACCAGTTTAGACCCCTCACTTAGCTCCAGATCCCCTTCCTTCATATTAAAGTAAAAGGTCGGTTAGGGCCGGCACCATGGCACAGTAGGTTAATCCTCCGCCTGTGGCACCAGCATCCCATATGGGTGCGGGTTCCAGTCCCTGCTGCTCCTCTTCCAATCCAGCTCTCTGCCATGGCCTGAGAAGGCAGTGGAAGATGGCCCAAGTCCCTGGGCCCCAGCACCAGCGTGGGAGACCTGGAAGAAGCTCCAGGCTCCAGGCTTTGGATCAGCCCAGCTCTGGCTGTTGTGGCCATTTGTGGAGTGAACCAGTGGATGAAAACCTCCGTCTCTCTCTCTGCCTCTGCTCAATTAAAAAAATATATAATATTTTTTTATATATACATATTTTTTTAAAAAAAGAAAGTGAGAAATCTCCCAAGATTTGCTTCTCTTCCTCACCTCTGCACAAACCTGCGTCTTCACTAGCTGCCTCTAAAACCCACCCCAGCTGAAACAGGCAGGGGTCTCCACGACCCTGGGGCCAGTGCAACTCCTACACTTTTCCCTGGGTCCTGTGGGTGGCGCCACCCACCCCTCCTGCCCAAGTTGCAAACTTGGGCTTCTTTGATTTGGCTCAACTAAAACCTTTGAATGCCAAACCCAGTGTAGGTGGTGAGCACTCAAGACCTGTATGTTCTAGATGAAATGGAAGGAGTTGATCGACTCCCATCCATCAACTCTTAAGTCCTGAAGACATCACCCAAGTCATGTGCTTTTCTGCTCTTATTTTGCGTTTTTTACTTCTCTGCTTTTGTAAATGCTCCCTGGACAGTTGTTAAAATGCCCCTCTTCCACTGACTCAAGACCACTAATTCAGATGAACCAAATTCATGAAAATCTTGAAGGTCACATCTGAGAAGTTCCAGTTGTATAAAAATGTGTTCAAACACCCATGTTGGATTTGGCATTTCAAAACTATTGGCTTAGCACGAAGGGTCTGTGAGGTAGTCTGGAAATCCTAGTTGTACTTGCCGCAAGGTGGGTTTAGCCAGAGGGTAATTCTACTTACCTGAGCTGATGACTGTGCTTGTAGTGTTGGGACCCACGTGCTTCCACTGGAAATCACAGGAAGTGTCCCGGGGATGTGCACACCAGTCCACCACGTAGCCAGCAACATCTCCAGACTTTGGTTTCCAAGACAGAGGGAATCCACCATCTGTCCCTGTAATCCTTTCTTCTTTAACATTTTCTGTACCTAAACAAGTAGAGAGATGCTTCAGATTTAATTAATTGTGTATTTTCTAAAGTGGGCAACTGAAAAATAGACATCCACAAGCAACGTATTTACCAGGTAAGAGGCCCACAACTCGGAGTGACGGGGCTTCAGTGGGGACTGCTGTCAGGGGTGTGTTCCTGCCTCATGTCCCAGCAGCTGTTCACCCCTGGCACATGCCCCTCCTCCCGACCTGCTGTGACCAGGCTGGGGTCAGCAACCACCCAGAAGGGCCAGCCCAGCCACGGAGACCCTCGCACTCCAGGTATTTTTACAGGGTTTATAAAACAAATAGACAAAAAACAGTATACATTATGTAACAGAGACTTTGTGGTGTGAGCTACAAAGCCTAAAATGTTTCCTATCCTTTAACCAAAAACAAAACAAAAAAAAGTTACCAACCCCTGACCTAGATAGCTGATTTTTTTTTTTTTTTTTTTGACAGGCAGAGTTAGACAGTGAGAGAGAGAGACAGAGAGAAAGGTCTTCCTTCCGTTGGTTCACCCCCTAAATGGCTGCTATGGCCGGCGCACTGCACTGATCCGAAGGCAGGAGCCAGGTGCTTCCTCCTGGTCGCCAATGGAGTGCAGGGCCCAAGCACTTGGGCCATCCTCCACTGCACTCCCGGGCCACAGCAGAGAGCTGGACTGGAAGAGAAGCGACCGGGACTAGAACCCGGGGTACCAGCGCCGCAGGCGGAGGATTAGCTGATTCTTGACCTATTTTCAGAAACTGTCTTACAAGAGGGACTCATGCAGCTCAGTTCCTTCTGTCCTTAGAACTAAGTGCTGCTTCTGTGGTGCTGGGGTGGGGCTGAGTCGAGGTCAGGGAGAGAAGCAATGCAGACGTGCACTCGGATGATGACGGAGGAGCCATCTCCACACACGTTCTGTGCTAACATCTGCTAAGTGAGGAGGCTGACCTCAGGAAACTGCAGTTCCGCTACCTTCAGACAGGGCCACACCTTGACTCCAGGCCGGAAAATGCATCCTGTTTCACCCACAAACACTCAAAACCATTTTTGTTGCTTCTCTGCCGTTCAGATTTCACTGGCATCCTGTGTTACCTCTGGCAGTCCTCATTACAACTGAATATGGGTGAACGCACAGTGGGTTAATTTTGCTAGGACACCAAATTCTGCAGCTGGGGGCACCCTAAGGAATGTGTAGCTCTAGGTATAAGGTCAAAGCCCAAGTAGGCTTCGCGTGTCTTTTCTATATGGCTTCCTTAACTTCCACCATCAAACACATCCACCTTAGACTGAGTCAGTTTTTCACTTTGTTTATTTGTGTTCCATGTTAACTCCAGACTTGGGGCTAAGCCTCCTAGCAAGCTGCTGCTTTCATACTACAAGTAAGTTTTGAGGGACAGAGGCAGAAATAAGGGTCAGGAATTTTTCTTTTTTAGTCATTCACACTGTAGTGTAAATTGGCTCAACCTTATTGATTTTTCTCATAGCCCATGAGTACTTTTATACTCGCTAGTAATTTAAGAACGTGGCCCGTGTAAGGAAGGCTAGAGAGCCTCGCATAAGAAGGTCTGGGGCTGTGAAGACAGAACATGAGGAGAGAGGGTTTAGTAGGAACCCAGAGACACAGAAGGCTCCCAAGCAGAGAGTAGCACTTTGGGCTGGCCCTTATGCCAGGCCATCTTCCGTGAGCCTCCCAGCTCTCCCAGGCCAAGTGTCATGGCTACTTTTCATGCTCTGGTCCTAACTACGTCAGCATAAAATGGTTCTCCTCCTCCTCTAACGTAGTTCTGCACAAAGCAAAAGTTAAACTGAACAACCCCCGAGTTTTTCTTGGGGCCCAATACTAATTTATTTTCTGTATCCTAACTTCTTTTCCTGATACATGCTGGATATTTTCGTTAAAAAATAAGAACCAAAAAATCCAGTTCACTTAGCCCAAATTTCAGCTTGAATAACATGTATAGTCCAACCTGCCATAACCTCCTAAGAAGGAGCAAAAGGCTGACACTATTACAAGGCCCACGAATGACCTTCGGATGCCAGCCGCTAAGTACATTATGCCCACTTGTGCGTCATCTCCTAGCTTGTGACCGTGGGGGTTACTATATCCAGTCTCTGCCACTCTGCCAAGAAGGAAATTAATACCACTATTGATTTGGCCTGTGAGGTCATTTCCACCTTGTTTGCTCTTTTGTAAGCTAAGAGATTAGCCAGTTCTTTTATCCTACCAAGTTGGCAAAGTACTTCTTCAATGACGGTGCCAATTTCTAAGCATTCTGGGAATGTTCATGAGTTCTTTATTGGTGGCAAAGACTGGCAAGACTTCTTACAACGTAGTAAATGCAACTCATGTTTCACAAACCACAAAGCATGACCAGCGAGGGCTGTGTGTTAGGGTTGCATTTACTTGAATGAATGCGAGGTAATTTCCAAAGCATGCTGAGGAGTTAATATCTGAGCCATGGCTGAGTCTCCGTTGTTACACTGTGAGGGGACAGTCCCACTGAAACGTGTCAACACACCTGATCCAAAAGAAAATAACTAACGGTGTTTGCCCGTCAGGCATTTTGCATTCCTAGTTATCTACCACTACTGAATCACAGCATCAACGTTTTCCTAGAGAATGGAAACAAAACCCATCACAAACTCACCATTTCCGGGGTCTCCAGCGACAGCCACAATCGAGGCGGGGGAGGTGCCCACACTGTTATTGGCTGTGACGTGGATTCGGTAAGAACATCGTGGGTCAAGCATTAGTTCTTGCTGAGTGGCTGGTGCAGGGATGGAGAGGAGCTGTAACCTGGATGCTGAGTCTAGGTTTTCTATAACTACATTATAGAACAGGATCTTTCCATTGGCTTGGTGTTTGGATAGTGGCTGAAAAACACGTGGATAACTGTTTCAAAATGGACTTGACATTGAAAAGTTTGTATAATTACATTTTCATTTTTCCCATCCCTTAGCTGCATAACATAATACACACCAGACATTTTTTAACAATTAGCGAAAATAACCCTGTACACTGTGCCTAAACCACGTGTTCTCGTCTCAGTGGAGTGGAGAAGGGCAGCATTTACTGTGACCAAAGAGGGGTCAAGTTAGGCATCAGGAGAATGGGGGACTCTTTAGCCTTAGGGGTCCCAGGAGAAGACAGATAGGTAGACACAACACCTCCTGAAACACAATTGGGAGGAGCCTGGGTCCTGGCCCCACCCCTCCTCCTGCTCCCTCTCCCTGTGCCCTCCTCCTACACAGAGCTCACATTCCTTCTTCCAGATTCTCAACCCTGGAGGCTGCAGAGCAGTTCCCGCCCACACAGTCCCACGCCCACTGCCACACTGTTCCTAGACCTGCCTCCCTGGGACAGGCTGTGCCTCCCTAGACCTCAGACAGGGCTGGAAGTGGCTGCGCCTGGGGTATGGGCACAACCTGGACACAGAAACTGCCTTGTGACCCATGTATGTGCACAGAAGTCCTGTGGACCATGCCACCCTAGAATTGGGCAGAAAAGTGGGGTGAGCTGTGGAGGAGGCCACAAAACTAAAGACTTCAAGAGCTCTGAATGCAAACTTGGCCTGCCAAGTCATCATGTTCAAGGGTATCAGGCAAGAAGGAAAGACAAAGAAAATTTCTAGCTATTTTTTAGTTTGATCCATAACTCTCAACTATAAATGAGTGACTTAATATTCATAATTATGTGTGATAAAGAATGACATTTATTCTTTATATAAATATGTGAATATTCGTGGTATGTGTTTAGTTCTTCATATATTCCCTTTCCCTAGGCCCTACAAAAGTTAGATTTGGGGGCCGGTGCAGTGGCATTGTGGGCTAAGCCTCTGCCTGCAGCACCAACATCCCAAATAGGCAGTAGTTGTGTCGCGGCTGCTCCTCTTCAGATCCAGCTCCCTGCTTATGGCCTGGGAAAGCAGTGGAAGATGACCCAAATGCTTGGGCCCCTGCACCCGCATGGAAGACACAGAAGAAGCTCCTGGCTTCAAATCTGGGTAGCTCCCAGGTCTGGCCATTAAAGCCATTTGGGGAGTGACTCAGCAAATGGAAGACCTTTCTCTCTTTCTCTCTCCCTCTAACTCTACCTCTCAAATAAAAAATAATCTTTAAAAAATAATAAAGTTAGAGGTGGGCCTGTGAGTAGATGTTTCAGAGAAAGTGGTTCTAGCAATCAGAAAGGGCCAGCAGTCACAAGAAAAACTGGGTTAATCTTAAGACCCCTCCCTCTCAGGAGACTGCACCAGGATCCACAGTGGAAGCAGCAGGACAAATCACACTTTCAGTGCCTGCACATCGTACCTTCCAGAATAAGGCCACGTTCTGACGTCCCGGCTCTGACGTCACATTCCTCCAGACATCGGGAGCCTCTGAGGGAGCTGAAATTAACCACAGCCCTTGGTTCAGGACTCGGGTGTAGAACAATGCTCATGCACTCAGCCCTTCTCTCGACTGGTCAAGGACATGAGGATTACCTGTCCTGCCTGAGGCCTGCTTGTCATCTTGGCATTGTGACTTCCACCTGCATAGCCACAGCCACCCTGCTCACTCCTCACTAGGTGCACACAGTAGGTGCTTTGATAAAAAGGTCGGCAGCTTCTAAATGGGACACCATACTAAAAGCCTTTATAAGCATCAAAGAATTTTGGAATTATTTGTCAATTCTAGAAAGTGAGAAAAGCATAAAATTTTAGTTATGATGATGCAATAAATTTTCAAATACAAACCCCCATAGCACAGCAGTATTATTAAAGTCAAAGTTCTTTAATAAGGGAGCCAGCGCTGTGATATAACGGGTCAAAGCCCCAGCCTGCACTGCCAGTATCCCATATGGATGCCGGTTCCCAGCTGCTCCACTTCCAATCCAGCTCTCTGCTAATGCACATGGTAAAGCAGCGGAGGATGGCCCGAGTGCTTGGACCCCTGCACCTGCATGGGAGACCTGGAAGAAGCTCCTGGCTCCTGGCTTCGGATCAGCTCAGCTCCAACAGTGGTAGCCATTTTGGAATTGAACCAGGGCATGGAAGACCTCTCTGTCTCTACCCTCTACCTAACTCTTTCAAATAAAAAAAATATTTTTAAAAAGTTATTTAATAAGACACAAATGGAGAACATACCACTACCCTATCAGGAGCAGCCTTAGTGAGCGTGAGGGTGGGCAGCAACCACCAGGAAATGGTGGGTAGGCCTGCTGCACTCGACCAGTGATCATCTCCATGTACAGATCCCGATTTCTGCACCTTACAGCCTCAAAGCTGAGCCCATGCTTTAAACAGTCCTCCCAGAATGCACCAAAAAGACTTCTAACAGCCTCCAGCCTGCACAAACTAGAAGATGGAATCACGTACATACATAGCACCCTGCCTTTGACAGTCAAATACCCAGGACTTGGACCAGGATGACCACAAGGCTGTGACACCACCACCAAGAGGGAACACACAGACGCGTAGCTCCTGTTGCAGGTGAGTGGCACGTCCTGGGAATCACAGGTCGGGCCTCACTGGCTAGGCCCACGAAACCACAATCAGCAGTACCTACCGCGTGCCGTGAACATTCAAAGACCAGATGCCAGTGAGCACTCAGAGCTATGTCAGGCACACGGTAAATGCTAACTGCTGCTATTACTAGTAGGATGTTGACAGCGACAGTGATACCTGCCATTCATTCAACTGGCCAAAGGGCCAAATCTCTACAACCCGTGGGCTCAGGCTGCCTCATCTGTAAAGTGGGGAGGAAGATGGAAGCAGGGCCATGCCATCCAATCAGCTGCGGCCCATCTGAGCTATGACAGCAGGCTGTCTGGGAGAAGCTGCAGTCAATACTGAGGAGACTCTGCCTCTGAAAACCCACGGGACAGGAAACCAAAACTTCCTGGTAATGATCAAGGTTCTACTAGCTTTACATTTCCAAACACAGCCGGAAGATGTTTAGGAGAAGACTAATGGTCCCCTTGGCCCCAACTATTCTATTCGTCCCCATCCGGAATTAAAGGCCTAAGCTAATTTAGGGAGCCCCAGGTCCACCGTGAATCCAGCAGTAGCAGTGACTCACTCATAGACTATTTTGGAGAAATGTCAGAAAAATGCAGAGTCGAAATAACATTGAGGGCAAATGTTTGAGGCTGTGGGCTCCCTACTCATCAGGCATTTAACCCAATTTTTTTAAATGGAACTCCATCTATTTTACTTTTTTTAAACACAGGGAAGTCCCCCATCTCCTGAGGCCTTGAACCCTAGTTTAGATGCCAGAGTGCTGTACATACCAGCTTCAAATGTGATGATCTTCTGAGGAACCCAATCGCTCCATTTCCAGAAGTGGCTGGCGCTAGCGCAGCGCACTTGGGTTGCATACTGTGTGCCAGGCTCCAGTCCGCTTAAAACATACTCACCATTCACCTTCACAGACACGTTGTGCTGCTGGATCAAAAGAGAAGAAAGGAAAAAGAAGACAGAAGTACTGGTGAGCAAACCTTACTGCAAAGCCAAATCAGGCTGGCGCTGCGGTGCAGCAAGTTAAAGCCCTGCCTGTAATGCAGGCATCCCATATCAGTGCCGGTTCAGGACCCGGCTGCTCCACTTCCTTTCCAGGAAAGAAGCAGAAGATGGCCCAAGTCCTTGGACCCCTGCCACTCACATGAGAGAACTGGATGGAGTTCCAGGCTCCTGTCTTCAGCCTGGCCCAGCCCTGGCTATTGTGGCCCTCTGGGGAATGAACCAGTACATGGCAGATCTCTGTCTCCCCTCTGTCTCTGTAACTCTGCCTTTCAAATAAATAAATCTTAAAAAAAGCCAAATCAGGACACAGAAAATCCAATTTGGACTAAAACCAGTTCCTTCCGGTGGAAAAATACCATTCCAATATCCGTTTCCCAATTCTCAAAGTCTCTGATGCATTTCATGCCCCCTTTTTAAACAGAAAACTGACATCATTGGTACCCACAGAAAAGAGTTTAAAGTGATTCTATTCATCAGTCTCTCTGTTCAGGACACAAAAGGTATTTTTAAAGATTTGTTTATTTATTTGAAAGGCAGAGTTGGAGAGAGAAGGAATGACAAAGATCTTCCATCTGTCAATTCACTCTCCTAATGGCCACACCAAAGCCAGGAGCCTGGAACTCCATCTGTGTCTCCCACATGGATTGCAGGGGTCCAGGTACTTTGTGCCCTCATCTGCTGCTTTCCCAGGTGCAACAGCAAGGAGCTGGATCGGAAGTGGAGCAGCCAAGACCTGAACTGACGCCCATACGGGGTGCTGGCACTGCAGGTGGACGCTTCACTCTCTGCGCCACAAAACGAATGGTGTAAAATAGAAACCGAAGCGGCGTACTCACCTGTGTTACCTCTCCTTCAGCACGGAGTTCAACCTGACACAGCAGTGTGCAGTGATTCACAATGGAGTACTCCTTCCACGTCATGATGGCACTCCTGGCACTTACATTTTCAAACTTGATGCTCTGGGGATCCATTGGATGGACTACCAAGATAGAAAAGGAAACACCGGGAAGCAGTCAAGCACAGATCCCAAAGGAACCGGCAGTTCATGTCTTCACAGGTTTGTTCAACAGTCTGTGTTCTGTTCAAGAAAATGGCGAACATGGGACCAGCACTGTGGCATAGTGGGCGAAGCAGCTACTTACAATGCCAGAATCCTGCATTGGTGTGCCAGCGTAAGTCCCTGCACTCCACTTCTGACCCAGTTCCCTGCTAGGTATCTAGGAAAACAGCAGAAGACAGCCCCAGTCGTTGGGCCCCTGCCACCCACCTGGGAGACAGATTGAGTTCCTGGCTCCTGCCATACAGCCTGGCCCAGCCCTGGCTGTGGCAGCCCCTTCAGTGAAACAGTGGATGCAAGATTAATCTCTCTCCCTGATTTCTGTCACTGCCTTTCAAATAAATTAAAGAAATATGTGACAAAACCACATTTCCATACTTAAAAGGTACAATAAGCCAACTACAAATTTTCTGTCTCACTGATTACATTAGATGCTTTGGAAAGATAAAAAATTATCTGAAGACACCTAAAATTCAACCTAAGCAGGCAAATTGTGAAGGGCAGTCACCAGGCGGGGAAGCCAGCCCGCGGGGAAGCCAGCCCACGGGGAAGGATTATCGTGGAATCCAGAATCTAACCAAAACATGAACAATACCTAGTAGATAACCCAAAATTACTTGACATACAAAAATGTAAGTAAATGAACAGAAAAGTGTCACCAGTTCCCAAAGGAAAAGTTAATCAAGACACTAACTCAAGATGCATTTTGTCAGACTCCCAAAACAACTCCATGATGCACACATACACGCATTTGACATGAAAACAAGGAGAACATTTCTCAGCAGAGAAGCGGAAACTAGTAAAAAGATGCAAGTGATTTTTTTTTCTTTTTTGGACATGTAGAGTTATAGACAGTGAGAGAGAGAGAGACAGAGAGAAAGGTCTTCCTTCCGTTGGTTCACCCCCCCAAATGGCTGCTATGGCCGGCGCTGTGCTGATCCGAAGCCAGGAGCCAGGTGCTTCCTCCCGGTCTCCCATGCGGGTGCAGGGCCCAAGGACCGGGGCCATCCTCCACTGCACTCCCTGGCCACAGCAGAGAGCTGGACTGGAAGAGGGGCAACCAGGACAGAATCCGGTGCCCCAACCAGGACTAGAACCCGGGGTGCCGGCACCACAGGCGGAGGATTAGCCAAGTGAGCCACGGCGCCGGCCACAAGTGAAAATTTTAGAACTGAAAAATGCAGCGTTGGAAATAAACACTGGCCAGATGGGTTTCAGTTTGGGGCTTTTCCAGTGAACACAGGAGGCGCAACTCAGAGTGCTGAGAACTCTGAAAGGGGACTGCGGACCAGAACTGAGTGTTCCGGAACTGGCAGGAAGTTTATGTTGCTTTCCCATCAGCCCTCCCTTCCAACACTGGGGCTTGGGTGAGGGAACAGTGAGTGCCAGAGTCCGCTAACTACGGTCACAGATTCTGGGCAAGAGCACAACAAAGGAGGGATCCAGAGAACTCAAAGTCCCAGGGAGATCGCGGAGAAGATGCTCAGCAAAGGGACCCCATGAAGTGGCTGATGAACTACCAGGCTCGCCGCCCTATCGTGCACACCTGGATCTCATCTCCTGCAGCCCATCAAGGACAGTTACAAGAGATACCACTCAGGTCCCAGACTGGCCACTGGGAGGCACTCACGTGGAAGAAATCTAAAAAGCACTTTGGAGCATGGACCACAGCCCACAATAGGCAGGTTCAGACACAGCCCAAACCTGACCAGGCCAGCTATCAACTAAAACAAAGCCCTTAGGATCTAAACACCTGTGCCCCAACACAACACTTGAAAGGTCCAGGATAAAATCCAAAATTATTACGTCAGAGTGATAGCCTCACTGAAGTAGGAAAGACAATTCCCCATCCCATTGTCAGCCCAGAGGGGAGATGTCAGACTTGGGGGCAAAGAGGCTGGATGGTTTATGGGAGACGAAGGGTGGCAAGTGCTACATAGTCTCTCTCTCACGCGCACACACACACACACACACCCCCAAGGATGGACTGTGGCATGGGAAGAAAAATGTGCAAACAGGGAGCTCAGCCCATAACCCCTGGCAGTCCGGCTTTTGTATGCGATTTCTTATCTCAGGGCTAGAAAGCTCAGGAAGTGGACACCCACAGGGATTCTGGGCTATATGAAAGGGAACAAACAAAACAAAACAAAACAGGTCACCGTGACATCTGGGAGGGAGCCAACAAGCACAAGGCAGGCCTGCACAGACAGGGAGACTCATGACGTCAAGGTCAGACAGAGACACAGGCCAGGGAGGTCCCATGCAGCCTGGTCACTGGGCTTGCTTGATAAGGAGATACTGCAGACTCCAATGTCCCAGGCAGCATGGGTCCAGGTCTCTGGGTGCCCCCTTGAGGCCATGGCCCTGTCCTGTGGTCAAGATCTAAGGGGAAGTGGGGACAATTTTGATTTTTCTAGGGTTGACACTGGAGCCCATGACAGATTTCCTGGGCTTCTTAAGGCAAAAAAATTAAACTGATGCCACTAGGAGGTTCAAGGACAAACACAGTGACCCACGGTGCTTACCTGCTTGTGGGCAGGGCCTTTGGGGCCATGTCAGCTGCTAATGACATTTTAGCTGTTGGGGCACAGCATGTCATCTCCATTCAAGTGGGTTTGCCCCACATGACTCAGAACTGAGCCTTAGCAATGGGCCACATCCAGTCCTGCCTGCTCTCTAAGCTACCCAAGCCCCAGTGTACTTGCACATTGATGGGGAAGAGGATATGGTGTCGTTAATTCAGGATTTAACACAAACATGCTACAACCCACCCCATCACAAGGTAACAGCCCAGTTTGGATGGTCAAAAGACTTGGAGGGGCAAAGAAACTAACAATGCCCTATTGCAGGATAAATGCCAAGACCACTTCGGATGGAAGTCAAGGAAATTTCTAGATACATCAAATGAGAATTGTTGGTCCTGACAGCACCCACCAACAAAAAGGGAGTGCAACTGCCGGCAGGCCTCCAGGGTACTGGAGACAGCATGTATCCAACGTGGCTGTCCTCGGTCAAGGTGAGCCCCAGAGCACCAGCTTCCCATGGGGCCCTGGGCAGCAGCAGGCCTCCTAAGCCATCCGACAGTTGTGCTCCGGCCACTGCTTTTAGAACTTTGAGAGCACAGCAACCTAGTAACATATGCAAAGCCTGTGCCACAGGAGGCTGCCACTGGGGTGCGCTAGACTCTCAGAGTTCAGACATGTTAAGTTGGCCAACGCAGCCTGCACCTGTGTCCTCAGATGGCTACTCTTTGCTTCCTTACGGGCAGTGGTCTCTGGGAGACTGAGCATCTCACAGGCACAGCCACACGTGACGCTCTAACCCGACTCGCTCGTTCTCAGGTGAGTGCCTGCAAGCTCCGCCCATAAAACTGGACAGGCTCCACAGAGCTCAGTTATTGCTATTACATTTAATGTTTGTTTATTTTCATCTACCTGTGAGGCAGAGAAATGAGAGTTGTCTTCCATTTGCTGGTTTACTCCCTAAATGCCTACAACCACCAGGGTTGGGCCAGGCCAAAGCCAGGAGCACGGCCATATGTGTGGCAGGGCCCAAAGCACTTCAGCCACCATCTGCTTGTTCCCAGGATGCATCGGCAGGAAGAAGCTGGATCAGAAGCAGAAGTGTGGCACACTGGGTTAGGTCACTGCTTGCAGAGCCAGCATCTCATATCAAAGCGCCAGTAGGAGTCCGCTTCTGATCCATCTACCTGCTAACGCATGCGCCTTGGAGAGCAGCAGAGGATGGCCGAGCACTTGGGCCCCTGTCACCCACTTGGGAGATGCAGATGAAATTCCAGGCTTCTGACTTCAGCCAGGTCCAGCCCCAGTCATTGTGGGAATGAACTAGAGGATGGAAAATCTCTCTCTCTGCCACGCAGGCTTTCAAATAAATAAATCTTAACAACAACAACAACAACAAAGCAAAGCTTTGAGGACACAAACTGACACTCTGGTCTGGGATGTGGGCATCCCAAATGGTGGCTGACTATACTGTGCCACAACACCCAACCCTTCAAAGCTCAATTATTAAAGGAAACTGCTACACTTAGGATTGGGCCCAGCCCAGGGCCCATGGGACCAGTAGGCTTCAGGAAGAAATGGCTGGATTACCAGATGGGACCAGGCAACTTCAAGGGATGCTTTGGCTCCTCCTATGGCTATGTGGAGGCCAAGATTCAAAGTCAGGCCTATTCATGGTCTGAGTTGTCTGACATGATTTACGGATGGCTCCGTCCAACCAAAAACAGATGGGGTACCCTGGGCGGCAGCCACCAAATGGCCAGTGGGTGGCGATCTTTAGACAGACACTTGAGATGGACATTGCACCTGATAAGCCAGACCACACGCAGCGGTGGAGGCCATGCCAGCCACCTCCACCATACCTTGCTACTTCACCAACTCATGGGCCGCTGTCAACAGCCTGACCACATGGTCTAGAGAGTAAGAACAGAGTGACTGGGCTATTAAAGGACCCTCCCTGTGTGGGCACAAGGACTGTGGCAACAGCTTTCTTCCTGGAAGAAGCAACCCTATGTCACTCACGTGGATGATGGGACTATGGTGTCCACCCTTAAGAGAAAACTTACATCATCATTTCGGACACTCCATTAAGACTTCACTCTGAGCAAGGAACATTCTCCACTGGCCAAGTAACTCAACAATGCATGATGTAACCTCACTGAACTTGGTGGATTTTCCGTGCACAGTGACATCTGCAGGCCAGTGGAACCATTCAACAGTGAGTGCTGCATGTGTACACTCCCCCCCTCCACACCAAACCCTCTCTGTACACACACTGGGGCCCTACTCAGTGTTCCTCACTGCTGAATTCCCCAGAGCCTGCTCTCCTAGAGGCTGAAGTGAAGTCTGAAGATGTGTAGGAATTCAGAAGGTAAAAAGACAAGGACTGTCCCAGCAGAATGACCGACAGGTAGAAAGATCTGTACCAACAGAGATGGTGAGAAACTTGCAGGAGAGACGGAAGGCACGCGGCCTGCCATCGAGAGAAGGCGGGCGTACGCTGACGGACCTGTGCAGGGTGCAGCATCCTAAGGAAAGTAAAGAAGATCCAGCAACTTAGAGATCTGGTAGGAAGCTGTGTGTGTGTGTGTGTGTGTATGTGTGTGTGGTCTGAGTGGGTGCAGGTGGAAAGAAGTGTCAGTGTAAAACACAGGAGAAAAATAAAGCAAGCAGTAATCGCAAACGGAGTCCATGGGAGTGGCCAAGGGTGGCTCCTTAGCAGGTGGTTGGCAGAGAACTGCACTGTAGGCCATGCGATTTAGAGAGATGGGGCACCCCAGCAGAGGACGACGTCTGAGAAGGGAGCAACAAGAGTCCAGCTTAGAAAACGCTGGGTGTGCAATACGCTTGAGCTATCCCAGCAGAGATGTCAAGGACATGGCCAAATGTGTGGATCTATGGCTGAATAAAGGTTTGTCAGCTGTGTAGAGGAAGTTACTCAACCTGTGAGCACAGATGGGGTTGTCTAGAGAAACAAATCCCCACTGGGTAGCAACGAAAGCACAGAGCCATGCTTGAGGTCCTCCTAGGACAAGCATCTAAGTTTCTAGGCAGTGGAACAGCTAAAGAAAACTAAAACTAGGAGAGTGGGGTCTCTGTAGAAAACCAGCCTGGCTCAGTTCTTTATTCCAGGTAAGGAAGCACAGCAAAATTATTTCTGCAATGTTTCTGCTGCAGCTGAAAGCCTTCGAGTCTGATATAAACCATAGGTCCTAGCTGGCTGCTTCAAATGCCAGTCTGCCACTGTTGGACAGAGCACACGCGTGGGGCTAAGAAAAGGAGACCCACTCTCCAGGGAACAACAGTGGAAAAACTAGAAGGACACCAAGATTCAGAGAAACCTAAGAATCCGCACACCTTCGCCCAGCATCCCTACCACCATTACCAGTGGAAACAGAATTCCCAAGAGGAATGCTGGTGGGGGGGAGGGCTGGACAGAGTACTGCAAGGAAGGGCGCTCAGCGAACAGATGGAACCGAAAGGCCTGGAGCAGTCTCTTCCCTGCTCCTCTCCCCAAACCTGAGGGTCTGGGGGATCACCCTCTCACCTCCTAAAGCTGCCTCTTAAGGGGTAGAGAGGTGGGACCTGGCTGAGGATGGCCTGGAGCTGAGGGCTGTTTAGTAAAGTAGGGAGTTTCCTGACACCTATAGCTCATTATCTTCAGCTTACGCCTTAGGCCATGCCTGCTGTAGCTCTGAGCTGGCAAGACGGCCTTTCCCAGCTACTAACTGCCTGACAGCACAGTAGACACAAGTCAAATAATGAGATCTCAGCGGCACAGCCCTGGCGACGCACAGCAATGCGATGCGCAGACTGCCCTGTAGCAGGGGTGTCGAATAAACAGAGCCAGAAAGTAAAATGTAAGAAAAACCTTATGCAAGAGACATGGGCAATCTAGGTACTAACATTCAGAAGGTGGAGTCATTCTAAACTATTAAACTCTAGCGTATCTTCAAAATATATAAAACAAAGAACGACTACCAGAAGAAATAATTCTCCAAACAGCACGGGTTTTTAATGTTCCCTTTTCCATTGCTGATAGTTTGATCAGTAAAACGAAGGAGATCAAAGATGTAAGCAACACAGTCAACAAGCTAACAAAGAGTATTTATAACTCATCATGTACAGACCAATGTCCAAGAATCTTAGCTTCTCCAAAGCTCCCAGATGGTTATGGAAGCGTCTGGTCCATGTATCACACACTGACAGGCACAAAGCCATACAACAAACCTCAGCAAATTCAATGAACATTCAGCTCACACACACCTCCCCTAAACATGGGGAAGTTCTAGCAGAAGTTCTATTAGAAAATTTCAAACACAAATAATTCACGGATTAGACATAGGATCATATATAGTCATTATAATGAAAGCACTTACAATGTCAAAACCCCTTGGATTACTTTGGATGCCACAAAATTGACATTTCAATGGAAATTTCTAGCTGTCCATATCTCATTTATGAACCATTATTCACCTTAAGAAAAGAACAACAGAGTAAATGCAAGAAAATCGAAGAAAACAGATAATGAAGAGCGAAAATTCAATTAACAACAAAAGATACTATGGAAAGAATACTTGAAAGCCAAAAAAATTTGGAAGAAAAACTGTTGTTGAAGCTATAGCAAAATTGATCAAGTAACAGCAGCAAGTGCCACACAATGTTTGAGTGGGAAAGAGGGCATATCACAGGTAAGAAACAATCTCGTAAGATATTAAGATAACTATTTCAAAATAAACTACAATCCATTGGAAAGTGATACAAGGTGTTGAAAACAACAAATCAGATTCAGAAAAAATAAGAGTTAACAACTCAGGAAAGACAGGAAATGACACACGAAAAAAGTGAAAACTAAACTGGGAGGAGTCCCAAGAGCAAATCAACACAACAGATACCTCCTCCGGCAAACAGCAAGCTAAAGGAAGCAAATCTCAAAGTCTAAAATCACAGAAGAGATGAAAGGAATCCAAGAGAAATGCCCAAAAATAAAGATCAGAAAGGAGATCCAATATGTGGGGTAACAGGAGTTTCTGAAAAAGATAATAAACACTACAAGCTATCATTCAAAAACCTCATTAGAATTTAAAAAAACTACAAATATATCAAGTTACTAACACTACCAACTTAAAATAACCAACACCAAGACAAAGTATATTAAATTCCTGAATTTTAAGAAAGAGAAACAATTCCTTTGGCTTCTAGGCAAAGATTAAGTGGCAGCTAATAAAAAAAAAAAAAAAGTACCGTTCCCTCTTCATTAGCCTTGCTTTATGCTAGAAGATAAGAGAGCAGGGTGCTCCTGATATTTAAGGGAGAAAATGTAAGTAAAGGCTTTTATATCCATTCCACCTGACCTTTAAGGCAAGACTTTTATTGACATTCAAAACAGGGGACTACTGTTCCCATAAGCACCTTGTAAAGAATAAAGGAGACAGACAACCAACTCCAGAGAAAAATGTTCACAAAACCAAGGTCCGCATTCAACAGCAGTTACTTACAGACCGAAGGAATTCGAGAAGTTTAAAGGGCAGCCCATAGTACTACCTACGTGCTGTGACAACAAGATACAGTTCAACTATTTTTTAAAATGGAAGGATTTTCAACATAAAAAATTTCAGAAAGAGGGAAAGAAAATGGGAAAGAAGATACGCTAAAAACATTTTAAATTCTTTCCAGTAGTTGTTTTAGTTTCTTAACACCCACACACAGACAAAATGCAAGAATTATATATAGGAAAATTTTAACCTTTAAGAGGAGATATTAATAAAGGCCTACCAATTCTGCTCTTAGGTATATATTCAAGAAAGACATTTGTGGCCCGCGCTGCGGCTCACTAGGCTAATCCTACACCTGCGGCGCCAGCACTCCAGGTTCTAGTCCCGGTTGGGGCGCCGGATTCTGTCCCGGTTGCTCCTCTTCCAGTCCAGCTCTCTGCTGTGGCCTGGGAGTGCTTGGGCCCTGCACCCGCAAGGGAGACCAGGAAGAAGCACCTGGCTCCTGGCTTCAGATCGGCGCAGCACGCCGGCCATAGCGGCCATTTGGGGGGGTGAACCAACGGAAGGAAGACCTTTCTCTCTGTCTCTCTCTCTCTCTCACTAACTCTGCCTGTCCAAAAAAAAAAAAAAAAAGAAAGAAAGATGTTTGTAGATGTGTACTGGATACATAAAAATGTTCCTTTTAACACTGTACCTCCAAGCACAAAACCTTGACTCCACCTGAAATTCAAAGACATTCTACATGACATACTAGCAGTAAAAACAGTTTACTAGCAATGAAAATGAACTGACTACAGCAATACTCAACAGCATGGGTAAATCTTAGCAATTTAATATTATATAAAATGTTAAATAGATGATTAAAGATAGCCTGCTGGCCTTTCTGAACGTTAAAACCAAACAGAATAAAAACACATTTTTAGGAGTACCTAAGAAATGAGAACACACACAGGTGCACAACTATTTAAAGCTATAATGACCGTGGTTGGAGGCACAGGTGGTGAGGCTGTGGGATGTAATAGGAAGTAAGTCTTGCCACCGGCCTGGTTTTGAAGCTGGGGAGTAAGCTCACTGATGCTTAAGACATCATTCAAAGCAAACAAAGCCCAGGGGATACATGCATCCAGGAGGAGTAGCATAGCATCAATGACGCGTGTCAATTCAAGCCTTCACGTAAGCTGTGAATCCGGCAACAACCTGCCGCGCATCTACTCCACACACAGCGCGTCCACTCCACGTACAGCACAGCCAACAAGATCACTCGGTCACCGCAGAGGGCTGCCGTCTGAGTCTCACCTCGACGAGTCAAGTTGAAAAGCAAGTTGACGCTTCTCCTCCTTAAACGGTTCTCAGCCAGCAGTGTGAAATTATATGTTTCCTGTGAGCCCTGACTTATTTGCCAATGACACCAGCTTCTGTGTTGACAGTGTTCCTTTCTCCTGGAAAATCTGAGAAAATAAAACATGACAGTAATTACAGGGTTTCCACTGGTATCAAAGCAAGTGTATCCTTTACTTTTCAGGGCACATGGGGGGCTTGGAAAAAAAAAAGATGTATTTACTTGAAAGGCAGGGTTATAAAAGGGGGAGAAAGAGAGAAGGAGGATGAGGAGGAGAGAGGCAGAGAGAGGGAGACAGACACATGGTGGGGGCAGAGAGAGAGCGAGATGGATTCTACCACTGGTTCACTTCCCAAACAGCTCCAAAAGCCAGGACTCCCCAAGCCAAAGTGAGGATCTTCATGCAGGTGTCTTAGATGGGTGGCAGCAGGCCGTCTGCTGCTGCTCTCCCGGGCACGTTCCAGGGAGCTGAGCCGGAAGTGGAGCAGCCAGGACTGGAACCGTGCATGTATGAGAGGCCGGGGTAACCTGCTGAACCACAATGCCGACACCAACACTCAGGGACTTTCTGACATGTGCCATGCAAAGGCACTGACCCAGCACCACCAAATACCAACAAGCAAAACATCATTTATTTCAACAAATCTGATACAGCCAGTGAAACGTAACAATGGACTGCTGACTCCCTCTCAGAGGTAACAGCATCCTTAATGTATGTGGAATATTCTTTAGATAGACTCAGACCATCCGATTGGAGCACTTTCACATCAAGATCCCCATTAAGTATCATTTTTAAAGAGATAGACAGACAGACACACACACACACACACACACACACCCCAGGTATAAAGCATTAGACACCTGTGACTATTTGAAGACTTCTTCCTGGGGCTGGCCTTGTAGTGCAGCAGGTTAAGCCACCACTTACAACATCAGCATCCCATATTCCCATAGCTGAGGGCTGGCCTAAGTCCAACCAGCTTCTTGCTAATGCACCTGGGAAGGCAGTGGAGGATGGCCCAAATAATTGGGCCCCTGCCACCTAAATGGGAGACTGGAGACCCAGGGCCCAGCCCTGCCTATTGCAGGCATTTGGGGGGTGAACCAGCAGATGGCAGATCTCTCTCTCTCTGCTTCCGACTTTATCACTCTGCCTTTCAAATAAATACATCCTTTTTGTTTTGTTTTGTTTTTAAAAGGTGTGTGTGGGGGGGGGCTTATTCCTCATCCTACAACATGGTTTTGAAAGATCTGTGCTATGCTTGTTCTGTGGGCCCAGGCATCTTAAGCAAGGCAGAGTCTGTGAGTACCGTAACAGCTAACTTACGACTCCAGCAAAGTGTAGCTCTGGGAAGGTTGCTTAGACCAAGCCAAGCCAGTGTCTGGTCCAGGTTCCCAAGTGCACTTCAGCGTCTTGAAGTCCCGGGTTTCACAAGAAAAGTCCTTGGGCTCCTCGAGTACTTCTGTCCATACAAACAAACAAAGCAATGAGGGACCCAGTGAAATCCTTGACTGACACCTAAGTCCAGCGGGAGGCTCTATCGGGGTCTGAAATCCAGTTATTCCGACAATGTAAATATCACCGCGTGGAAGCCTGCATGCAACAGCCCCAAGACGTCGCCTCGGCCCCTCCCCAGCCCTTCCCGGGTCACTCTCGCGGCTGGCACAGGTGGGCGCCCAGCACTGTGTCCCTCTGACAAGAGTGGTGGCTCCCCTTGTCTGTGGATGTTTCACTTCAGGTGCTGTGGCCTCCAGAAACCCCAGGAGGAGGCCACAAAGTTGGATCTTGTGAAGTGGCTCAAGTCCGCAGCCAGAATGGCCAAGCACCTCTGGGTCCCCGGAGTCCCTGGGGCTCCCGCTAGCCCAGCCGTGGGGCAGATGGGAGCCAAGCACCCGGGAGACTGGAAGCCTTCATGAAGGGAGGCCGGGAGGGAAGCATCACAACTGCTGCCCTACTGTGCACACAGGCCTGCAGAGACATCCCGACGCTCCCCTCTCCACTGAGCCCCTCGGCCGGTTTGCCCATTTAAGAGCAGCAGGGACCTCCACCGGCTGAGCTTTGATCCCACGCAGTCACTGTGCTGGCCACGGTCATGAACCCTCCCCGCAATCACCATCACCCCCCTTTCACAGAGTGGGGTCGTGGCTCCCGGAGCCCAGGAAACTTGGCCAAGATGCAGCCCGCGGAGGGAGACTCAAGCCCAGGGCTGAGCCCGCGGCTGTCTGACCTACACCCTCTCTGCTCCCACTGTCCTCCTGAGATAATCCCAGCAAGGCTGAGGCAAAGCAGATTTCCGGGGAATATTTCCAGGTCGTGACCTGAACTTTCCCTCCCCGAAAACTGTTGGTTTCTAGAAATGAAATGGTCAAGAGAGACAACAACAGGAAATCCTGGGAATATTAGTTCAGGATTTCTAGAATCTTCTCTAGGGAATTTGGAACACACTTACAAGAAAAAAAAAAAAAAAGCCCAGGCGTGGAGTGTTTACGTGTCTCCTGTTAAAGGAGATGGAGCTGTTCCACAGAAAATGACACGGCAGGGCCACCGACTGGCATACTTACTTGAAACAAACAGAACAGTGCCGTCTTCTTTGTGCGTGCTGTTCCCACAGAAGAAATTTGTCCCCGTTTTCCTGATGAAAGGAATGTTACTCAAACTGAATGCAAATACACTGGCGTCAAGCCGTTCTCCGGGGATCTGTTCACTGTCCAAATAGCAGGATATGTTCTTTAGGTTGCTCCCGGAAACGTAACACAGAGTGACGCTGGAGCCTTCCTCCACAAGCTTATCTTTAGGGAAAACAAGCAACTCATTCGGTCCTGGAGAATCCTGGGCTACAAGACAAATATTTTTTATTTTTAGGCTGTTTTCCCCAGCTCAATTCCTACACCAAACCTATATTCTTCAGTGCATGCAAAATCATCTTTTTCACTGTCACTCCTATTGTTGCACCAATTAACTGCAGCTGCTGCTGCTGCTGCCAGCAACAGCCCTGTTCCTACGACCACTGCCGTTCGGATCTCTGTGAGACTGCCACAGTTAGGTTCTGATACAGCAGTGAGACGGGACCCACTGCATCAGGGCCCTGCCGACCTGACACAGATCCGTCTCTGACTGCGAAGCAATCGGGAGCAGGGAGTGTCCGAGGGTGACAAGTACCAAAGACCCCCTGGTGCCCTGTCGGGCCCTCCCCACCCAGCATGCGTGCCCAGCATAGCGCAACACACCTGGTGTGTTACCTTCCTGCGCGGCCACAGAGAGCAATGCTGGGAGTAACACCGCCATTTTTAAGCATGTTTGCACCATGTGATGAGCACATGCACAGAACCCAGACCCAGGCGCAAACCAAAGAGGTGTGTGCCGAGGGCAGCCTCCGTGCCTCCCAACCCCATAAAATCAGCTCCAACAGGGGAGCAGCTGGTAGAGCCTCTTCCTGCTATCCGGTCTCCCTGGTGTTGGAATACAAGCCCCCAGGAAATTTTGTTTGGGTTACACTTGGCCTCTTGTCAGTTTCTGTTTGCAAGGGAGTCAAACATCCGATCACAGCAGGGGCTGCCCACCCACGAATCCCAGCCACGCAGAGCCCCGTGCCATGCCGTGTGTGCACACTGTCTGTCGTCTTCTCTACTATGGTGCAGACAGACTGACCCTAAGATCGCTCAGCTGGGCCTGGCTGACACAGCTCCCAAGCCCCCGGTCTCTCAGAATCTAGTCTTCCCACTTTCTCCAAAGCACTGGCCACTCAAAAGCCATGTCCTTTGGCTTCAGTCCCTCTGTGTGGCATATCGGTGCCTCAGGGGTCTTTGAGCAAATGCCCCATCCCCCCCAGGCTGCCTCGCTCCCAGCACCGTCTCCCAGTCTGCCTCCTAGAAGCAGCTGCCTGTGTGTGCAGCTCAGGATTCTCCACCTCCCCTCACTCCTGCGCCCACTGCAGTCTGGCCAGTGCCCACCAGGTCACTACAATCGTCATCACCAAGCTCACCCACATGATAGGGCCTGGATATGGGTTTATGACTTATTTATTTTCTAAGGCTCCAGATGATTGTACAACCATGGCTGAGAATCAGTCCTTTGAGGGGTAGGAACATTCACATTTTCCATTTATTTATTTATTTAAGATTTATTTATTTGCAAGTCAGCGTTACACAGAGAGAAAAGAGACAGAGAGAGATCTTCCATGCACTGGTTCACCCCCTAATTGGCCGCAATGGCTGGAGCTGTGCCGATCAGTAGCCAGGAGCCAGGAGCTTCTTCCAGGTCTCCCAAGCAGGTGCAAGGGCCCAAGGACTTGGGCCATCTTCCACTGCTTTCCCAGGCCATAGCAGAGAGCTGGATCAGAAGTGGAGCAGCCGGGTCTCGAACCAGAGCCCATATGGGATACAGGCACTTTAGGTCAGGGCATTAACTCGCTGCACCACAGCGCAGGCCCCATTTTCCATTTATTCTTAAACCAGCTTTCAATCACTTGAGAAGCAGAGAGACAGAGAGGAAGCAGACAGATAGACAGAGTCCCCATCCCCTGGTTCACTCTCCCAGATGCCTGCAATGGCTAGGTCTGGGCCAAGCCACAACCAGGAGCCTGGACATCAATCCAGTCTTCCCACACGACTGGCAGTGACCCAACTACTTGAGCCGTCACCACTGCCTCCCAGCTGTGCGTGGGCAGGAAACTAACCAGAATCAGAGCTGGGACTTAAACCAGGTACTCTGACGCCAGACGTGGGAACTGCTGTGTCTCAAGCACTGGGCCAAATGACCACTCTTCTGTTAGTTTTGGGGTTACAGGATGAGAACTCAAGATCATTATCAAAACTCTACAGAGTGTGTTTCTTTCCTTCTCTCACACTAGCTCTTTCATCCCCGTGTTCCCCTCTTTCAGCAGGAAGATGCCAAGTGAAGAGGATGGACTTTGGAGTCCAGGTGCTCAGGCTGGAGCCCCAACTCCACTCCCTGTGGCTTGATGACCTCACATGGGTTCTTCAGCCTCTCCGTGCTCAATCTCCTGCTCTGTAAGTGGATGTAAGAACAATGCGTATTTCACAGGGTTGATAAGAGGACTAAGTGAATATGTACAGTGCTGAAACAGCAGGCTGTGGATTTAATCCTTTATTGTTATTCATCTAAGGGCTAAGCTACATATGGGTTAATATGTTGCCAGTCTGTGTAAACAAATTTACATAAATGCTTAGCAAAGCAAGGACTCTGCTGATAGAATTTCAAGTCATCTGGCAGAGTATATAGTGAGAGGGACACATGCCATCGTGTGGAACTGGCCTGTAGCTTAAATGGCGCATGAGAAAATGGCAAAAGCCACTCTAATATTAAATACAACAAAATTAAATGGTCCAAACTGAGCGATTACAAGCATTTTTGTCTATAATCTTGTTACTCAAATGAAGAGCTGCTTGCATTTCTGCCATAGTGGCTCCCATTTCTCTAGATGATGCCCGAGGCCAACTGCAACCCACCATCTGTTTTTGCAAATAAAGTTTTATTGAAACACAGCAAACTCTCACTTATTTGCCTATGGTCTATGGCTTCTCTCTAAAGGCCCAGTCAAGTAGCCACAACAAACACAGTCTGGCCTTTTACAGAAAAAAAGGTTCTCCAACCTCCATTCCAAATGGATAAACACAATTTGCATCCTGCTTTGTTCACTTAGCAATCTCTAACACTTTACACCTGGAAAATGAATACAAAATTGTCTGAACTGCAGATTATCTCAGTGATAAAGTCCAGTTGTGGAAGCTCTGATACCGGTCTCCCAGTGACAAGTCTCCTACTCGTGCTTTACAGTTCCAATCATGGGGCAAGGAGAATAATTCTGGCATCAACCAGAGTTTCTCAAAGGCAGCCTCCAGTATTGGACTACTGATCCCTGATAAACATTAAATATGAAACCTGGGGAGGCCAACACTGTGGCATAGCGGGTGAAGCTGCCTCCTGCAGTGCTGGCATCCCATATGGGCACTGGCTTGAGTCCTGGCTGCTCTACTTCCAATCCAGCTCTCTGCTGTGGCCTGGGAAAGCAGTAGAGGACGGTCCAAGCGCTTGGGCCCCTAAACCCACACAGGAGACCCGGAGGAAGCTCCTGGCTCCAGGCTTTGGATCAACCCAGGTCCAGCCGCTGTGGCCATTTGGGGAGTGAAACAGTGGATAAGAGAGCTCTCTCCGCCTCTGCCTCTGTAACTCTGCCTTTCCAATGAATAAATAAATCAGAAATGTGAAACCTGTTCACTCTTTTCACCACCTAACTTCTTACCAACAACTTTCTCCCAGGGACTCCAGCTGCTCCAGAAACTCGGCTTGGGGAACTTGGCGTCAACCACCTCACTCTTCATTCTCACAAAGTGCGGCCCGCATTCCAAAGGCAGCTCAGACTCCCAGCTCCAATGAAGGACTTGGCCCTGCTTCACGGTGCTGCGGTAGTTTTCCTAAGAATAATGAAGGATTTGGACACGTTTAGACTTCCTGTCCTGGGAAGGGTCCAACTTGATGTATCCAAGGCACAAATCTAAGACCCCATTGTAACTCCACTCCTAACCCTTCAGTTCCCTTTGCAAGTGGGGAAAAAATCAAGCAAAAGGAGTTTATAATGTTGATCACAGTTGACTTGCTATGAAAACTACTGAATTAATGGAATCATGGTTTAAAAAAAAAACTAAGCAACATGCACAGGCATTTTTAAATATTCATCAGATCAGTTTAGCCAAATCTCACTAGACAGGGAAGCCCTTCATAGCACTGTAGCAATCCCATTATCTCCAGAAGTCGACCAGTGGCTCTGTGTGTTTCCTTTGGCTTTCTGTCTTGACAGAGGGTGCCCACAGGGACCACGCTCTCTCCCAGGAGCTCCGTCTGTCGGCATCTTTAGTCCTCAGCTGTGTCAACCCTAAGGATATTTTACAGGGTTCCCTGGGAAGCCTTCCTGCACAGAACGACAATGGTTGTTGGGCACAGCTTTTGTCTTAATCTTTCAAACACACTGGCATTTCCGTCCTCCGACTCGACAGCTTGATGGCCCCTTCCCATCCTACTCTCTCATTCAGGACCCTCTACCAGGTGGCTTCAAGCAACCTCTCCCATATAGGGATTTGCTACCTGGACAGAGGCGGTCTGCCCATGACCCTGGGCCGTGCCTGTGACCCCCTGTGGCTGGAGTCAGGCAGTGACCTATTTTAGCACCTCCTCCTCCTCCTCTCAGCTTTGGGAGCCCCGAATCCACATCAAACCCCATCTCCTTCCTGAAGGGTCTCTTTCCTCGAAGTCCCGCCCACCTACACCTGCGTGCTGCTGTCCCACAGTCCTGAGACACCAGGGACTGCACTTCCTTCTTCTCAGGGTGCCACGTGGCTCCAGGCACTCCTTCCCCTCAGGTGCCCCACCCCCAACACCTGCCTTCTGCCCCCAGAGCTGGGAAGTGAAGACAATAAATACCCTGAGCTTCCGGGAGGAAACCCAGTTGCAGTCTGGGTCCCTGTTAGCTAACAAGATGGGGTGACCACATGGCCCACAGCACCTGGAGCTCCCAACTGGGAGGCTGTACCCCACTGCACCCTTTCTGGGTCGCTAACCTCAGGCTCCACTTAGAGTCCAATACAGCCCTGGAAAAAGCACATTCAAGTAGCATTTACTTGGGGACCTCCTGTATCGTTACGCGCATAACTTTGCTTTTATTTATTTGAAAGGCAGGGCTACACAGGGAGGGGAAGAGATAGAGGCAGAGAGAGATTTAGAGATCTTCCATCTGCTGGTTCACTCCCCAAGTGGCTACAACAGCCAGGTCTGGGCCAGGCCAAAGCCAGGATCCAGGAACTCCATCTGATTCTCCCACACTGAGTGGCAGGGGCCCAGATACGTGGGCCACTTTCCGCTGCCCTTCCAGGTGAACTAGCAGGAAGCTAGATCAGAAACAGAGCACCCAGGACTCAAACCGGCGCTCAGATATGGGAGGCCAGTGTCCCAAGCTCTGGTTTAACTCGCTATACCATGCTAGACCCTAACTGTGATTTTTAGAATATTTACATTTTATTTTAGCTTATTGCATTGCTTTCTGCCTAGATCACAAAATATGTATTTTATCTGTAAGTACTGAAGTCCTGATCCATGAAGCTTTCACTACTTTAAAATAAGCAGTCTTGAGACCTTTTGCTTAAATATTTTTAATAGAGTTATCTGCTTTTAAAATGAAAAACTACAAAATAAGATTGCTAATGTTTTCACCATATTGAAATGTTAAACATCTGAGAAGAGAGAAACACTACCCTGATTGAACTTTAATAATGGATACGGGCATGAAGACATCACATACTACCCCATGAACGTGTACAACTGCTATGTTGTATGTTAAAAATTTTGCATGATTGCTAAGCTTAATTCAATTGCTGTAGCCAATTCTGCCTTGTAAAAATACCAAAATGTTACTATCAAAATTACACTGTGACACGAGTACAGGTTTTTGTTTTAATACAGTTAAAAAAAATTGGTACCAAATGCACTTAGCAGTTCTAAGGCTTAACAAACACTCCGACTACTCACTTCTTACTATGCTTAGACATGGAGAACAGGGTGCTAAGAGTACCTCAATTTCCAAATTCAGGCAATTCCCAGCGCCCACATCTTCTGAATGTGCACATGCTTAATTCAGTTTTTTAAGCAGCGAAGAAAAAAAAAAAAAAGGAGCCGTATCAGGGATGGCGACCCCCCCCCCCCCAACAACCCCAAAAAGCCATAGCTTAGATTTCACCTGAAATTCAGCCACTTCTCTCCTCTCCCCTCTGGCCAGCCGACCCCACTGCCCACTGCCAACAGCCCACACCTGCCCCTCTCCTGATACCCCCAACGTCTTCCCCTGTGCCACTCCTCGGGCTTCCCAACGCTTCAACTCAGATCTCCCCCACCAGCCCCGTTTTGCTCTAGGCACAAAAAGCAAAGCCCCAGCCTGGCTGCCTCACAAGCTCAGTGCACACGCACCCCACTCCCCACTGTCAGGGCCTCTGCTAACCCTGTCCACTCTCCCCGGGTTATCCTGTTCCATTCTCCACCTCGATGCACCTTCAATCCCATTCATATTCTGGCTCAAAAAGCCCTTCGCCCAAACTGTGGGAGGCCAGGCCCAACCCCAACCCACGGCCCGTCCCTGACCCACACTGAGACTACCCTCTTTGTGTGTTTATCTCCTCACTCTGACCAAAATGCTAAGCACGGACAGCGTCACGCCTTGCTTGGTGCCTGACCAGGCCACAGTCTCGGACTATGTGCCGAGTGATGAGCTCCTTCATTGCATTTCTCCTGGTCCCAATTTGTGCGGATTTTGTCAAACCTCAGCATGTGCTCTGTGGTCTTTGCAGCCTTGCTAGCAAACCAGAGAAAGCTTGCTTTGAGCAGTCTTCACATCAGGAAAGCAGATTGACTTGTAATGTGCTCAACTGTCTTTGGGCCATGTGCATTCACCGACGTTTAATTTGGAGCACGCAGGGACACAGGCATTAGACTGAGGTCACCGACTGTCATGAGGTGCAAGCTACCCACAACGTCACCCCCACGCCAAGTCTCCTTCCAAGCTCGCGCTGTTACTCGGTCTTCCCCTGCCGCTGACAAAACCATAGAGCAGGCGGCTGGGAGGGAAGGGCAGATGCTGGCTGATGGCCTGGGGAGGTTGCATGTGGGCGCCCTTCCCGTCTCCGCACAGGGTGAAGAAGATTCCCGGCAGGGCCCTGTCCCTGTCACCGGGCAGTGCACAGCAGACCTCTCCGCATGTGGCTGGCTCCTCTGCTTGGTCAGGCTCGGCCGGATGTTTTGAGAACAACACTAGAGACAAAGCCCTTTCAGGGGTCGAACAACGGACCTGGTGTGAATCCTAAATGAAGAATCAGCATTTTATTTAACCGAGGCCACTTGCTCAGATCTCAGATCCAGTGATGAATTTAGAATAACAGGAAGACTTCAAATCCAGGGACCTCTGGACTTGACCAAGGAAACCAGCCATTTAGAACTCCTATACCCAGGGCCTCCAGTCGACCTCAGGCAGAGGTCCCAGGTACTGCCCCGGGCTTCCCTGGCCTGCATGCAAATTCTTGGGTTCCCTCAATGAGGAAACATTGCCCTGACCTTGAACATGCCATGAGCATGATGAGCGTCCTGTGTGTTCAGGACACTAAGCTTCCCCTGACCAGAAGGGACACTGGAAACAAACCACTAATATGTCCCGACGCACCAGACGGGGATGCACCAGGCAAAATACACACCATTAGTTGAACCAAGAGGAGTGAAAATCTACCCTAAATAATTCAAAGTCAAAATGAGTAGAATTATGGATTTTCTTGATTTGACTTTAGAAAATCTACATTTGGGACAGCAGGGACACGATGACAGGGCTCCCCAACATTGAAGAACTTGATAGAACAGAAAGTCTGAGTTTTTGATCCTTGCATTTCAGCACACCATGGCAGGCAGGAAGCTTCAACAACAAGAATGTTGCCCCCTTATGACATCTTCCTTAGGAAAACCGTAGGTGAACAGACCAGGAGGGGAATGAGGGCCAGATGGTTTATCCTCTTGGAAGTCTGGAATCTCATATTCACGAGGATGCACTCCACAGTCCTCTTGGGGGAAGAGCAGAGCTGAGGAAACCATCTATCTCCTTAACACATCCCACCCTTCCTACCAAGCAAACATATCTGCTTACTTTCTCTTGGATTCTCTTAGCTAAAAACACAGAAATGCAATTGTTTCAAGCTGCTAAGATATTCATGAGAATTTTTAGAAGTCATAAAAGAGCAGCATCATGGCATCAGGAAAGGATTTTTAAAGTAGTGAGCCACGAATAAAATACTTACCTCCCAGATGACCTTGGATCTTTCAAATCTACTGATCTGTATCTGAAACGCCATTCTGGATTCCTGATGAGGAAGGTTGGGGACAGTCCATTGTAAATGCAAGCTTTGATGTTCAGAATTGATCGAAATGTTAATCAATTCAGGAGTCAAGAGTAAACGTTCATCCAAGACTGAAAGACCAAAATAAGGTGTGAAATAACATTTACTAGGAGAATGATGAAGAGTCAGGCAATTAATTTTTCAATATCATTGCTTCACTTTGGAAAACAGTGCTCATGCGTGGCCCCCATAAAGACACTTAGAAAAGCTGTAAGGCAATTTAGAATCACTTAACAGAGGGAGAAATTAAGATCTAGATGAATGAAATTACTTGCTCAAGAATACACAGTAAGTCAATTAACTGACAGACAAAAGTGGTTTTTTTTGTAAAGATTTTTATTTATTTGAAAGAGTGACAGAGAGAGGTCTTCCATCCACTGGTTCACTCCCCAGATAGCCACAACTGCCGGAGCTGTGCCAATCCGAAGCCAGGAGCCAGGAGCTTCTTCCAGGTCTCCCACATGGGCGCAGGGGCCCAAGGAGTTGGGCCATCTTCCACTGCTTTCCCAGGCCATAGCAGAGAGCTGGATCAGAAAAGGAGTAGCCGGGACTAGAACCGGCGCCCATATGGGATGCCGGCGCTTCAGGCCAGGACGTTAACCTGCTGCACCACAGCACCAGCCCCAAAAGTGTTGGTTTAATATTTATTTATTTAAAGTCAGAGTTAGAGGCAGAGAGGGAGAAAAGGAGAGAAGGAGAGAGAGATCTTCCATCCACTGGTTCGCTCCCTAGATGGCCCCAACAGTAAAGGCTGAGTCAGGTTGAGGCCAGGAGCCAGGGGCTTCATCCAAGTCTCCCGAATGGGTGGCATCTTCCATTTCTTTCCCCAAGCCATTAGTAGGGAGCTAGATCCAGAGCGAAGCAGCAAGGACACGAACCAGCACCCACGTGGGATGCTGTACTGCAAGGGGCAGCTTTCCCTCTACGCCACAGTGCCAGCCCCAACAAAAGGATTCTTTCTTGGACCTTCTAACTGGTTTTGAAGTTTACAGTAAGACCGAATCAACAAAGGACTATTTGCTGCACTTAATATTTTCAGAAATCAAAAATTAAAGTTTTTTTTTGGAAGTCAACATTTTATCCTCAAAGACTGCATAACCATCTAGATATGATCATTTGTCTAACTCGCTGTACGAAACCTTAAACACCTGTAGTATGAACTAACTCAACTCGGAGACCAGCAACTTCCTGGGCACTTAGTGTGAACAAACACTTGTGACAAGGTTCTAGTGCAAAGAAGGAACCCAGTTCGAGAGACACGATGAACTCCTATGAAATAGATTTTAAGTTTAGAGTAGTCAGTTCTACGATGGAGTCTGTAAAAAAAAGTCCAGGCATTTAAACATGAACAGATCTGCTGATTACGGATCGTGGGAGATCAGCCTGCGGTTCTTAGGCCAACAGCCTTTAAAGCACCCAAGGCATGGCTGCCCCTTGCCCGCACACGGAGGTTGGGAGGATGACAGCAACAAAGTCCACTGTCACCCCATAGCCATGGTCTAACAGACAGCGGCTTCTAAGCAGCCATTTCCCTCAGGAATTTGCTCCAGCGATCTGAACTCTTCTAACTCTAAGCTTAAGACAACAGAGTATCTCCTTTTTCAACCAAAACAGAAGCAATTGCCAGTGCTGAAGAAATTCCCCTCCCCCAAGCTGCCATGATACATGCACTGTGTTCTCACACGGAGGCCAAACAAGACCATTTACAGGACTAGCGCTAGTGGTAGGTGCTTTACCCGTGGTGTCTCGCGGATCATCTCAACTGTAAGACAGAAATTTGCGATGTGTAAGAGAACTGAAGGTCAGTGAGGCTGAATAACTTAAGCAGAGCTATATAGGATTAGAGATCTCAATGACACCAAAACCTGTGCTCCCTGTTCCCCACCTGCGAGGACAGGAGCATCTTGGGGAATGGAAATCTGAGAAGCAACAGTGTCCTGCCAAGCTTGGGGGACACAGACAGAATGGAGCTCAGGACGGAGCCAGATGAGCCGAGGATACAACACAGCCATGAAGTTCGAGTCTTCGGTCCACTTGGTAGAAGGTTTCAGATCCAAGTAAGTCATCACCCTGAGAACCTGGCAGAAAACCTCAGCAAAGTTGTTTTATGGAAGTGAGATTAACAACAATTCCCATAAAATGAACGTCATTAGCCCTCAATGGGTCCCTTCCCAGAAAGCTACCCATGCTGTTCTATAAGGGCAAGTCTGTCTCAGTGTGGACTCCAGAATCCTGGATTCGACCAAGGGTCCTTAGATGTGACATCAAAAGCATGAGCAACAAAAGAAAATAGACACGGGACTTCATTAAAATTAAAAATGTGCAAACAATGTTATCAAGAAAGTAAAAATACTATCTACAGAAAGGGAGAAAATATTTGCAATTCAGGTATCTGCTAAAGTTCTAGTATCCCAATTATATAAAGAACTCTTACAAATCAGCAACAATTAAAAAAATCATAGGTCTCAATTTATTTATTTTTTTAAAAGATTTTTATTTATTTATTTGACAGGCAGAGTTACAGACAGTGACAGGGAGACAGAGAGAAAGGTCTTCCTTCCGTTGGTTCACCCCCCAAATGGCCACCATGGCCAGCACTGAGCCAATCCAAAGCCAGGAGCCAGGTGCTTCCTCCTGGTCTCCCACACGGTGCAGGGACCCAAGCACTTGGGCCGTCCTCCATTGCCCTCCCAGGCCACACCAGAGAGATGGAATGGAAGAGGAGCAACCAGGCCTAGAACCCGGTGCCCATACGGGATGCTGGCGCCACAGGTGGAGGATTAACCAAGTGAGCCACGGTGCCAGCCCCCAGAGGTCTCAATTTAAAAATGGGTCAAAGACTTGAATGGAAAATTGTCCAAAGAACATATACAAATGGCCAGTAGACACATAAGAAGATGTTCAATATCATTAGCCATTAAGGAAACGTAAATCAAATGGGGCCAGCATTGTGGCACAGTGTGTTAAGCTACCACCTGTGACACCAGCATCCCACATGGGTGCTGGTTCAAGTCCTGGCTGCTCCACTTCTGTTCCAATTTCCTGCTGATGTGCCTGGGAAGGCAGCAGATGTCCCAAGTGCTTGAGCCCCTGCACACATAGGGGAGACACAGAGGGTGTCCAGTTCTGGCCTGGCACAGTCCTAGCCATTGAGGCCATTTGGGATGTCAGCCAGCAAATGGAAGCTCACTCGCTCTCTCGCTTGCTCTCTCTCTCTCTCTCACATAGACACACACACACACACACACACAGCCTTTCAAATAAGCCTTTAAGAAAAATAAAACCACAATGAGATACCATTCACACACATGAAGATAGCTATAATAATTTTTAAAAAGGAAATAACCAGTGTTTGAGAGTACAATGTAGAGAAATTAAAACCCTCATACACTGCTGGTAGGAATGTAAAATGGTGCAGTACTATGGAAAACATTTAGGGTAGTTCTTCAAGAAGTTAAAATCGAATTACCATGTGACGCAGGGATTCCATTCCTCGCTACATATACAAATAACAGAAACAGGCACTCAAACAAACACCTGTCCACGCTGGTCTATACCAGCACTATTCACAGTAGCTAAAAGGCAGAAACCATTCAAATGTCCAGCAACAGATGAACAGACTGGGATATGCACAGAGAGGAACAGTCAGCATTACAAGACTTGGAGCACCGATGCGCGCTACAAGCCTCAGAAACACGCTAAGTGAAAGAAGCCAGACACAAAGGGTCCATGTCGCACGATCACAGCCCGGGGAGGTATCCAGAGGAGCTGACTCCACAGGGACAGAGAAGGCAGACTGGTGGTGCGCAGGGCTGGGAGATGACAGCGTAACTGCTTACGGGAGCTTCCTTTAGGGGAAGTAGAAGCATCTTGGAACTGAACAGAGATGGGAGTAGCACAACAAGGGAATGTGCGAAATGTCACGGGTTTGCCCACAGAAACCACAAATGATTTACATTATGTGAACGTCACATCCATGAAAACTTTTTAGACATACATGAGCATGATAAAAGCATCCAAATACAGAAACTGAAGCCTCACAATCACCAAATTCACATATTTTTTCCTGAAAATTTCCATAGGCTTTTAAAAAATGTATTGTGTACCCCATTTTATATTCTTAAGAACTTATGCTGTGTCTTAAACCTATAAAGGGAAGTAAAACTAAAATATTCACAGTCATTATTTCTGAGTACAGAGTTGTGCGATTTTAATTTTCTTCTTTATATTTTTCTGTATTTTGTAAGTGCTATTCAGAAACATGTATCCATTTTTAGGATCACAATATGTTATATTTGGAAAGGAATTATCCCTTTAAGATACCTAGGCCACTCTACTGTAATGATACTTTACAATGTCACCATTCCTCCACAGCTTGTCCTCAGCCCTTGTCCACAGTGCTGGTCACAGCCTGCTGGAACAGTTTTTCTGGTTTGTCTTGTGTAGACTGTGAGCTGAACCAGGTGTGACTAAGTCTTAGCCGGGAGAAACCAAGCCTATTAACACACCGGTCATGGTGTAGACATACAGGGACTGGATGCTCCACCAATGAGTTCTAGTTACCAGCATCAATTTACTTCAGAAGATCTAGAAAGCTACCATATGTTGCTTTCAAGAAACAGGAAGTCTCCACATTAATATATGCTATCAGCAATTACTGAATCACTCACATACTTGAGTAACATCAGTCAGAAATAATTGGGTCAAAGGTTTTCTAGGACTTCCTTGGGAAACAGTGACCAATGCCAATGTCAAGTCAGAGAAATCAAAGAGCATAAAGATTACTTAATCCAATTCCATTCACTTTCAGGTGAGCAGGTGAGAGAGTTTGTTGTTGTTGTTGTTTTAAAGGAAGTGATTTTGCCAAGGTCACACACCCACACTGGAAGCCCGGGCTCCTGGCTCCCAGTCCAGCTCTCTTCATAACACTGCAGGGTTATGAAGGCCAAGAAGGCCAAAGGCAGGCCTGCATTTAATCATAGCCTCTACCCTGCTTTGCCCATCCTGTTTCTCTGACTGCCCTAACACTACGTGAGGAGTGAAACCACAGTCCAGTCATCAGGAGGGAGATCACAGCCCAATTAAATATATTCTTTCTAGAAGAACATGTACTATCAAAGGGAAACACTCATCCTAGGTCACGTTAAGTAACCAAAATATCCTCAGGAAATATATTTTGTATAGTGCAACTTTTATTAAAAAAAAAAAAAACCCTACATATCTGAAATTTAGTCCACAAAAGATGGGGAACATGCAGCAAATGCCGCCATCATGACCCCTGGCCGATGGAACTGCAGGCCTAGGATGAGTGACGAGTGTTGGTTCTGTCTCTTTGACTGAGTGACGTCAGGTCTGGTCATTTGATTCTCAGACCCCAACCTGGCGGGCCAACCACGTGGTAGGCTGATTAGCGTCTGAGAGCAGGGCTGGCAGGTATTTGGGCAAGTGCAGCAGAAACTGAGACAAGAAATCCAGGTTGTACAGGATTATCAACCAAGGAAGGCATGCATGGTAGAGGGAGCTGGAAGCAAAACAGAGACCCAGTAGAAAGAGGAAGTGGGAAATGCATGTCTGATCAAAACAGAAGCAGCTCCAGGGTGGGCAGCAGAGGTCCCTCGGAGAGCAGGGTGCCCGACACCATGAACAGCTGTTGGATCAGATACTAAGCCTTCTCTGGGGAAAAGTGCCTAAGCTTGGAGTCGTGCCTGGGACTTCCTGGAAGGCCTGGATCTGGGGCACTGGGTCTGTGTGGTAATCAGGACCTCTGGCATGGCCTAAACACTTAGTGTGCAGGCTGCCCACTCAGCGCGACTCTGCAGCATCTCGCTCAGATCTTGGCAGGAAAGTTAGACGGTGAGATGCATGTACTAGATGATGAATACCATGTCACACCCTTCAGTCCCAGATTCTGGACATGGGAAACTGTCTCGTGGTTACTAACAGCAAACACCCACACTCTCTGTGGCAAAGAGAATACAGTGTAGTACAGTGCAGCAAGAGGACATATTAAACCTTTGGAAAACACAGATGAAAGCCACAACTTACAAGCCCGAAGAGACCCTCTGATGCCTAACAATCGACTTTAAGTAGGTTCAAACTAATGATCACCTTATCCATCAAGATTTTAGAGCTACTGAATTCTTACCTTAATCACAAAGTTCATTTATCTCAAAATACCCTCCTTTGGGGAAATAGGTAAGTGAAAAAATTATCAGTAAGCAGCATTTAGCATATTACCTTGCAGAGACTCAGCAGATGTTATTGGTGTGTCTATTTTTACAGTGCACGTAGCTCAGCACCGTCAGAACCTGTTCTAACCTGGTGGTCAGCACTGCTCTGCTGTATCCTGGGTCTTTAGCCAGCAAAGTGCCGAAGGAACTGTCACAGCAATGGCTTTGGGAAAAGTCAATCAGTTGTGAAGTGCAATGGGCCTAGCTCTCCTCTCAGCTGCCCTAAAGAGCAGCCCACTGGGACTGGGAAGGCCGGGTTAAGTGGTGGTTTAGGAGAAGGAGCCCTCGGGATGAGGGCGGCCAAGGCAACACGAAGCATGGCTTTGAGAGAATGGCAGATCTGGCGTGAGCCGCTCACCAATGCCAAGTGACTCCTACAGGCCATGCAGTCACTAAGCTTTTCTGCAAGGCACCAGCTACTTCCTTTCCCCCTCCAGGGGCTGCTTCACCCCCTTTCCACTTCTTACCTAGGCTCTGCAGAGTCCTCAAGGACAGCAATGCCAAGAGCAATGTCGTCCCAGAGATGGAAATGACAGCCATAGGTCCCGGTTTTCTGAAAAAGAGACGTGACACATCAGGGCCACTGGATTTAAACTCCTAGCAGGTTTCTTTGAGCCAATAATGACAGAGAATGGCATTAAAGTCCCCCCGCCTCCTCCCTCCCTGAATTGTCTCTGGCCATGTGACTTGAGTCCCTCCCTCAACACAAGGGTATTTCCCTGCCCCCCCCCCCTCAGGTGACTTTCTTTGGCCCCTGAATGTGGCATGGCAGATGGTGACCAGTGAGGAGCCGAGGCCTCGAGAGACTCCGTATGTTTCTGCTTGCTCTCTTCTATTTCCACCTCCAACATCACAGGGCATTTCTGGCCACTCTTTCGGAACCCTGGATTGAGTGACGCATCTCAGCTGTTGCGGCTAAGGCCAGCACAAATCAGCCCACAGCCTGCCAACCCCAAGCCAAGAGCTGCTGAGCCCACGGGCGAGAACAACGAATGCTTGGAGACAAGGACCACTGAGGCTAGGTGGCAATGCATCAACCCATTACAAACCAAGGAAAGGTTGGCCAAGAAAGGTCAAGTGGGCCAGCGCTATGGTGTAGTGGGTTAAAGCCCTGGCTGCAGTGCTGGCATCCCATATGGGCACCGGTTTGAGTCCTGGCTGCTCCACTTCCAATCCAGCTCCCTGCTAATGCACCTGGGACAGCAGTGGAAGATGGTCCAATTGTTTGGGGCCCTGCACCCACGTGAGAGACCCAGCTGAAGCACCTGGCTTCTGATCAGCTCAGCCCCGGCCACTGTGGCTACTTGGGGAGTGAACCGTGGGTGGAAGACTTCTCTCTCTGTCTCTACCTCTCTTTAACTTTCAAATAAAATCTTATAAAAACGAGAGAAACAAAGGTCAGGTGGAGAAACAAGAGGCAAATGTAAAAAATGGATTCTCATTAGAAAGAGTAACTACTACAGTCTCAGTACTGGTCAGTTTGATTACTTGGATACGCTCCCAGAAGTGGGACAGCGGGTCCTATGGTAGCTCTAGTTTCAGTTTTATGAGGAATCACCATACTGTTTTCCATAATGGTTGCACCAACTTATATTCTGACCAGCAGTGTGTTAGGGTACCATTTTCTCCACAATCTGCCCAGCACGTGTGATTTTTCTCGATTTTTGGGTAATAATCAACCTAACTAGGATGAGGTGGGTCCTCACTGGGGCTTTTAAACATCCAAAGGAAATAAAAGCAGTATATGAGAGAGATGCCTGCACACCCATGTTTATGGCAGCTCAATTCACATTAGCTAAGATATGCAATCAATGTAGATGCCCATCAACTGATGATTGGATAAAGTATCTGTGGTATATACATACAATGGAATGTTAGTCATAAAGAATGAAACCCTGACATTTGGAACAAACTAGATGGAATTAAAGATCACTGTGCTAAGTGAAATAAGCCACGTGTATTATCTTATTTGTGGAAATTCATAGAGCATAAAGATTATGCAGATGCTATATAATTTGGTACATAAATATTGCTTCATTGAATCATGCCTTGTAAATGACAATACACTCTTCTTTCTCACATCAAAAAAAAGAGAAAGAATAAATGAATGAAATGGAGAGGGGGGCAATAGTGAGGACTCGCGGGGTGCTAGTAATGCTTTGTTCTTAATTTGAATGTTGGTTATGAGTGTGATCAGTGGGTTAAAGCCTCAGCCTGCAGTGCTGGCATCTCATATGGGCACTAGTTCAAGTCCCAGCTGCTCCACTTCCAATCCAGCTCCTTGTTAATATGCCTGGAAAAGCAGTGGAATATGGCCCATGTGCTTGGGCCTCTGCAGCCATGTCACAGACCCAGATAAAACTCCTAGCTTCAGCCTGGCCCAGCCCTGGCTGGTGCCATTTGGGGAAAAACCAGCAGATGGAAGATCTCTCTCTCTCCCCCTTCTCTCTCAGTAACTCTGCCTTTCAAATAAACAAACTTTTCTTTAAAAAATCCATTTATCTTTATCCTTATGTGAATTTCCTGTATGTATGTGTGAAAAAAATCAGTTACTTGGGGTGGTGTTGGGAGGCATGTCCTTTCCTCCATATCGCCCTCATTAACATTTTTTCTCTTTCTAGTTTCTAGGCAGATAATAACTGAATATATTAAGGGTGTGAAGTGTGAGGTTTCAACAGAGGTATACACTGTGCAGCGGTCAAAGCAAAGGCATTAGCATCTCCATTACCTCCAATATTTACCATTTCTCTGTGATCAGAACATGCAAAATCCTTTACCACTTGGAAGTACATATTATTTTTATAGCTCCAGTCATCCTATGGTGCAACAGAATCCCTCCTACCTCGTTTGCAACTCATCGACCAACTCCTCCCCTCATCAGTTTAACACAGGACAGTTAGCACGCTCCACCAAGAGATGGTGGGTTTTTTCACTGTTCAGAAGCATTTCTGGAGGCAGCACTTGGGCTGGCAGCTACAGTGCTGATCAAGATGCCTGACCATAGCACCTGACTCCAGTTTCCTGTCAACACAGACCCGGGGGAGCAGCTGCGATGGCTCAAGCCACTGTGGTCCTGTCACCCCCGTGGGAGCCCCAGACAAAGTTCCCCGTGCTTGGCTTCGGTCCAGTCACGTCCTGGCTCTTAGGGGCATTTGGGAAGGGCACCAGCAGATGGGTGCTTTCTCTGTCTGCCTATTTCTGTCCAAGTCTCACCAATACACTCTTCAAAGCCTTCAAGAGGAAAATAATGACTTCCCTCCTCCTTGCCCTAGCAGGGAGCTGCAAAGCACAGATCAAAGAGCCTCAATGATTCACCAAGTGTTCTGACCACAGGGCAGCGTGAGGCACAAAGCGTGAGCCCAAGCTGCTCCTAATGACCACAGTGAGTCAGGGGAAGCGCCGAATTTCACTTTTCTTCTCCAAACCTTGGCTCAGCAGAAGCAGCAAAGCAACAACTCAGTCAGTTTTTGCCTCTGTCCCACCACCTGGATTGCATCAACAGTGAGAAATTCGGTGAGCCAGGTCACTGCCACCACGTGTTATATAAATCGTATTTTACAGGTAAGTGGGAGGAACAGTGAAGACAAGGAGAAGCTAACCGCCCTGTCCAATTACTCCCGGGTACCCGACGGGAGAGTCCAAGCCAAGGGCTGCAGAACCTGGAAGACCTGCCTCATGCTATTCCCTTTTGTATTTTTTAAAAAGATTTATTTACTTATTTATTTTAAAGACAGAGTTTCCAAGAAGGGGAAAAGACAGAGATCTTCCATCTTCTGGCTCACTCTCCACGTGGGTCCAACAAGCCAGGGCTGGGCCAGGCTGAAGCTAGGATTCCTTCCAGGTCTCCCACATGGGTGGCAGGCGCCCAAGCACCTGGACCATTTTCTGCTGCCTTCCCAGGCACACAAGCAGGGAGCCGAATCGGAACCAGATCAGAGGCAGAGCAACTGGGACTTGAAGCAATGCCCCATGGGAACACTGGCCCCTGTGCTCTCCGTTCCTCATTGGGTCACTCCTGCCTTTCCCAAAATCTCTACTTACACCTTCAAACAGGTTCCTAGTACAAGCGACCATGAGAGCCAGGGGAAGAACTAACGCGAGAGGAGATGGCGTCTGCTCAGAACCAAGGGTGAGGCGAGGGAGGCGCCTGGGGTCAATCATGTGACTGCGACCCTGACCTTGGCGTTTTAAAGACTGCTTCCCGGCCGGCGCCGCGGCTCACTAGGCTAATCAGCACACCGGGTTCTAGCCCCGGTCGGGGTGCCGGATTCTGTCCCAGTTGCCCCTCTTCCAGGCCAGCTCTCTGCTGTGGCCAGGGAGTGCAGTGGAGGATGGCCCAAGTACTTGGGCCCTGCACCCCATGGGAGACCAGGATAAAGGAAGACCTTTCTCTCTGTCTCTCTCTCACTGTCCACTCTGCCTGTAAAAAAAAAAAAAAAAAAGACTCCTTCCTGGCTTCCTGGCTACTTACAGGCCCAGGGCTGCACGCCCCTCACGCACGCCCCCCGGAGGAGGGCAGCACGTGAGCAGCCACTGTGAGAAGGAAACCTCGTCCCATCTGCGTGGAAACAGGGGATCTAGAGGGCGACATGCACCTTGCCCAAGGGTCACGTTATGAAGGAGTATCTAAACACTGCCCCAGATTTGGGCTTTTCCCCAAACATTTTGCCTGTTGCAGAAGTTGAGCAAGCCTCAGGGATGGTAAAAATCAGAGGCCACTACCATAAGGGTAACCAAATCCAAGAACATAAGTTCTCAAGTAACACACGGAACAAAATAAAGCCCTGCTCTGGGGCTCTCAGGAGCATCCTGGAGAGTCATCAGGATATCCTGTCTGCAGTCCCCACCCTGGCCATCCTCTCTGACGCCTGTCAGGCAGTCGTTCGGATTTCCTGTTCCCTTGGACAGCAGTTCTGACAGGCACCACCGTGACACACGGGTCACAGCACGCACAGGAGCCAAGGGCCTATGGCTTCCAGGGGTGTGACCGGACCACGCCGCCGCTCACGTCTCAGACCCCAGACCTCCTCCAGGGCCACAGCAAGTTCTGGCTGCTGTCTGAAACCTCCCGGTTAAAGTCAATCTTAGGGGCCAGCGCTGTGGCGTAGTGGGTAAAGCTGCCGCCTGTGACGCTGGCAGCCCACATGGGCACTGGTTCACATCCCAGCTGCTCCCTGAGCTTCTACCCTGAGCAGCCGGGAGCCCCAGAGGCCTTCAGCCAAGGGGGAAAAGAACCCCGAGATGAGAAGACTGATGGGGCAACAGCAGGGCTACGAACCACAGTCCAGGCGAGAAAGAGCGTGTCGGGGCCGGGGACCAGCAGCAGAGGCCCCGAGGACCTGTGCAGGTCTCGGAAGAGCCTCAAGACACAGCTAACACGCAGGAGGAGCTGCACGGAGACTTGCACTTTCAGCCCGAGCCCCTCACAGAATGGAATCCCCACCTAGGGGACGCAGCAGACCAGGAAGGAAGCAAGCCATGCACCGTGTCTGTGGCACGATGACTACCCTGAGCTGCTCGTCTGGTCTCCAGGGTCTATATCCAGGGCTATAA